ATGGAGTTGTGCCGTCGTACTGACCAAGATGTAAGGTGGGGACTCTCTCTCTGCAGTCATAGTTATCCTCACTCTCAGAAGAAGGCTGGTAAAATGAATGGCCACGCTGGTGTGTGTGTGTCTTGGCCCGCTCATGCTTGGTGGGAGGCCCCTTTAACTGGACAGTTTGACTATGTCGTTGTTCTAGTACGTGTCCATAGTTTATGTCTTTCAGGGGACTATAGCACGGGGTGTGTGGCACTGGGCATGTAGAGTAACAGGGTGCAGGCGTGCTCTGGATAAAACTCCCCAGGTGGGCAGAGGAAAATGGGTTTGCATGAGGTGTGGCAACTGCAGCAGCTGGTGGCAGGGCTGGATTATACAGCGTTAATGGCTGGGCATGAGTTTGGGTGTTATGCACATGGCAGCATGGGTCTTGGTTTTGTACATCAACTTCATTAATAAAGGGGTTTGTGCTAGAAAACCTGGGCTGCACATGCTCATGTGGTTTTTCAGACACTGTCTGCATCCTTTCAACCGGCTCCTCTTTACAGAGTAAAGGGTTAAAATGCTCATGTCTTTTATTTCTCTTATTCACATAGTCCATTTCTGTTCCTAACTGGCTTTCTTTCACAGTAGTTAGCATCATGGGTGGGTTAGTGGCTGGTTACACTCCCAAAAACGTTGGCTAGCAGCCGTCTTATTAGCTTAGCTTCCCGGCCGGGCACAGTAAACAAACTTCCGACTTTTGTCCTGGCTTATTCCGCCGTTTATTTATGCTCACCACAGCTGCTCTGTTTGATGTGAGAGGGTCCCTTCGTGGTTGCCAGTGTTAACCTTTCCTGTTACCGGTAACTTCGGGGCTAACCCCCTTCACTCGCTCAGCAGCAGTTGGTAAGCACCAAACAGAAGCTCCGCTTAGATCTTGAGAAGCTGCAGTCTTTATTTGTTGACCACCGTAACCTACACTGTACATTTATGGCTACATGGGGTTTATTTCTGATCTGTTTATCTTAGCTCTGCCCTCCTTCAGCTCACTCGCTTCCACACACACGCTCCGTCTCTCACTGTCAACACACGCACTGGCTACGCTCACACATGCGCGCACTGAACCCTCCCTTTAAGGGCTACGCTACTCTTATAACACGGGTCTTATGGATCTGTTCCTTTCAGAGAACCATTTAAAAACCAGTATCATTTTATTTTGCATTTGTGGACGAGGTTTAGCAGCATTAAGTACCAAAGAGCTGATAAAAAGAATCGGATCATTCGTGAATGTAACATCACCAGTTGTTGGTAGATTGAAAATCTGCATTCAAGTAAAAGTACAATTACCATTAGAGAAACCTACTGTGATTACCACGGGCATTTCCAGGGTCTAGAAACATTGGGGGCTTAGCCAAGCAAGAAATCATTCATGTTTTAACTAGTTTTCACCCCGCCTTCGCCTACCCAAAGAACGTCTGTAAAGCAACAGTAAAAGTCTCTTCCACTTGTCAAAGTGAACCTTATACCTACTTTACCTATATCTTTACCTATTTTAATTATTAAATATCAAAGGCCGTATAAATACATTATGATTTTTGTAATTACTACTGATAATACTTTAAACTTACAATATTAATGGTGGGTCAGGGGGTCTTCCCTCTGCCTTCTGGTGAATTTGTTGTTTGACATATGTTTCTCCTGTAGATCAACTTTTCTCATTTTATTTCATCCCAAACACACATGTAGGCATGACTGAAGTAACCTCTTTAAATGTGCGTGTGGCACCTTTTCACCTCTGTGGGGTTTTGTTCCTTGGCAGGGTTTCCCTCAATAATAGACCAGAGACACAGAAATCATTAATCTGTGGTCGAGTCGCGGGGGCAGCAGCTCCAGCAGGGGACCCCAAACTTCTCCTTCCGGAGCCACATTAACCAGCTCTGACTGGGGGATCCCGAGGCGTTCACAGGCCAGTATAATCTCTCCACCTAGTCCTGGGTCTCATCACGAGGCCTCCTCCCAGCTGGACATGCCTGGAACACCTCCCAAGGGAGGCGTCCAGGAGGCATCCTTACCAGATGCCCAAACCACCTCAACTGGCTCCTTTCAACACAAAGGAGCAGCGGCTCTACTCTGAGCTCCTCTAAGGGAGACAACAGCCACCCGCCTGAGGAAACCCATTTTGGCCGCTTGTACCCGTGATCTCGTTCTTTCGGTCATGACCCAGCCTTCATGACCATAGGTGAGGGTAGAAACTGCCACTTTGAAATCCACCTTGTATGTGTTAAAAGGCCACCGACAAACAATATATTCATTCACTTTTCAGTTCTGTTGTTGGGCAACATTTGATGTGATGTTTGGTTTTAATAGCCACCAGTGAGTCTCTGCAGACCAAAAAATGTTGAATACAAGAGTTAGTTCTGTGAAGGAACTAAACTAAAAGCAGTTGTCAAAAGCATGCTTTACATTGTGCCACAAGCATGAGCTTTATTGCAGCTATGGAATTATATTCAAAGGGATTTCTGTCATACTGACAGTCATATTAGTAAGTGTTCTCTGTGATGTGTTTAAGTAAAGTCTGTCTTCCCTTAGGTAACATCACCACCCTCTGCCATGTCCCTGAATCCACAGCTCAGCAGTGGATGACACCTCCGAAGTTGCTGAGGTAAATGTGGTTTCAGATCAGTTAAACATAAATGATTGCACAGTCACCTTTTTGTTGTTTTTAGAAAACCACATAGAAATGTTTTACTGTTATTGTCTAAATAATCCAAAGCATCAAGTGAAAACTAAATAATAAAACTTCTATTCGTGTTGGGGGATTGTGAGTAGAGAAGTTTAGCAAAGGGACAGAGAAAGTGTTTTTCATCAGACGAGTTTCATTCACTTTATTTAAACATAGTGGTGTTCAAGAGCTAATGAGTTTTAAGCATTTTACCAGCAGGAAGTAAATAATTGCTAATCATGTATTCCCTTAGAGTAAAGTCTGACGGTAAATGGTACATCTATTTGTATCTACTTGTTGGTGTTTGGTTTGAAATATTTAATTGACATCCAGTAAATGGTACATTGACTTTTTTTTAAAGCCTGACCGATATGGGATTTTTAAGTGTGATACCAATTTCAATATTTTGGGATTTTAAAATCCAAAAGCCGCTATATCGGCCGATATATTTTTCACCTTTATTTTAAGAAAGGCATAACATAAACAAAGATTATCCCTAACATTTGTTATCTTGAGACCATACCAAGACACCATGACATAATGCAGTATAGAAAGAAACTTTGTTATTGTTAGAAATAGTACTTTGAACAAAGTACATCAAAATATATTTACGTTTTGATAAATAAGAGTCATGTATAAAACTACAGAAAACATTTTTAAAATGTCTGATTATTTATAAATTATAGCGTACTACTACCAATGAACATTAAATTAAATAGTGTATGTATTGTGGGGCCAGTGAAACAAACTATAAAAAATACCAATATAGTACTAATACTAAAATTAATAATAATACCATATATCATCTGTCATGTCATTGCTATCACAATAAAGATAATGTCATGCAGTAGTTATTACCGTACATATAATCTCATGACATGAGGGAAGGATCCGACTCTCTGTTTCTGTTTTTATAGTCATATATTGGCTGTTATAAACACAGATGCAGATATATCTGCAAGTAGCTAATATTGGCTGATAATTAAGTTAAAGAGGGTAAATTATGTGAAATTACAGGTGGTTTACATCTTTAAGACTAAGGGTACACCCAACTCAGGTAAATAAAAATGTTAAATGCTACTTGCTTTGTAGGTTTTGTTTTCATGAATGACTTTGTTTGTCTCTGATCTCAGTTGAGTTTGGAGGTGGAGTAGACTTTCCAGCTGACTCTTTGTTGATGAGATGAAAATCAGCATAAAATATACAATAAAAGATCAGTGAGTGATGTTATTTAGGGCTAATGTGGCTGTTTGACTGACGTCAGAGAGATGACTCATTTCCTTCAGAACAACAAAAACTTCACCAGTTACACAAAAAAAATGTAAATACCTATTGAGCTTAGTACAGATATTTACATGTCACAGCATTCCAGTCTCATAATACCATAACAACTGTTTTCAGTCTTCAGTCAGTCAGACTGCATGCTTTGATAAAATCAGTACTGATGGTGAGACAGCAGCTGCAGACACAGGACTGATTGTAGGAGGAGTCACTATAATATAAATGAGCAGGTCTCTCTTTTTACAGACAGACATGGACGAGACGCCATCAGGCTGCTGATCTGACGGACATCCACAAGAACAAGCTGAGTGAGTCAGATTTATTTACCATTGAAAATAGTGATAGGAATCACGACTCTTTGGAGGGAGCCGGGCTATGGCTCCATTCCTTTACATATAGTGTCGTGTGGAGTAAATCTGTAAGGTCAATACTTTCCTGCAGCTTCTCTTTCTGTGGCAGAAGTTAGTTTTTCACAGCGGCTTGTTTGTTGTCACTAAGGAGGAATGAGATGGTTGGTGTGGGCGGTGAAGCTGCTGCATCTGAGTCAGGAAGAGTTTAAACTCCTGTTAGTTTTATCTACAGTAATGCACCATATTCTGTAATATCATCATGGATGCAGTTTTTAAGAATGTACTGAATGTTGTTTTAGACAAAATGTGTAACAATATTGCAAGATTTCAGCAACGGTCAGACACATGGTGGATACAGATGATGTACAGATTCAAGCTGGGCCAGATTTTAAAACCAGGAAATGAGCATTGGTCAGACTTTGTCAGGACACATGAAGGGAAGCTGCTGTAGCTTTCTGTTGGTCCGTGCATGACCGCAGTAGGTTAATACTCAGATCATAAAATGCAATTAAACTACACTTGTGTGCTGAGTTTGCTGATCAGTTTCATGGGGGATATTGTGTTGAACGCTGAGCTGAAATCCACAAACAGCATTCTAAAGTAGGTGGTGTTTTTCTCAAGGTGTGTGAGGGCTGAGTGTAGGACAGTGGAGATGGCATCCTCTGTGGATCTGTTGGTTCTGAAAGCAAACTGGTGAGGGTCCAGGCTGGCTGGGAAGTTGTTTTTTATGTGCTGAAGAACCAGTTTCTCAAAGCACTTCATCAGAATGGGGGTGAGTGCCACAGGGCGGTAGTCGTTCATACTGCACACTGCAGACTTTTTAGGTACAGGAATGATGGTGTCTGTGGGAAGCAGGTGGGAACCCTCTCCTGAGATAGTGAGATGTTGAAAATGCAATACATTCAAAAAGCTTATTGGCTCAGGTTTTTAGTACACTGCAATGGATGTTATAAGACCGAAATTCACTCTCAGCAGGACTCCTCACATCTGCTGTGCATACTGACAGTGGCCGGTCCTCTGGAGGTGGAGTAGACTTTACAGCTGACTCTTTGTTGAGGAGATGAAGAAGATTTTGGGCTAATGTGGCTCTTTGACTGAAGTCAGAGAGAAGAGGACTCGTTTCCTTCAGAACAACAAAACCTTCACCAGTTGAACAAAAAACAAAAATTAAATACCTGTTGAGCATAATATAGAGTAGTACAGATTATTACATGTCACAGCTTTCCAGACTCATAATACCGTGACAACTGCTGTCTGGAACAGGCTTTGTTTGCGCCTACAGACCAGTCAGACTGCATGCTTTGATAAAATCAGTACTGATGGTGAGACAGCAGCTGCAGACACAGGACTGATTATAGGAGGAGTCACTATAATATAAATGAGCAGGTAAATCTCATGATGGGACGGACATCCACAGGAACAAGCTGAGTGAGTCAGACGAGGCTTGTGTTGTATTTCCTAGGTTTGATTTATCAGATTTTGTTTCTGACCAAATACCAGCCGAAGACAAATGACATTCACATCAGCCTCTCATGTACTTTGCTAATTGCTAATTAGCCAATGTAAGCATGCTAACATTCTAAGCTAAGACGGTGAACATGGTAAACATTATACTTGCTTAGCATTAGCATGTTAGCATTGTCATTTTGAGCATGTTAGCATTAGCTTGTAACTGCTGTGTGAGCACTGCCTCAGAGCTGTTAGCATGGCTGTAGACTGTTGACCTGGTTGTTATTTCATCCACTGTGCAGACACGAAACAGGAAGCTGTTTTGAGATGACTCGTGTTGTCCTCTGTGGAACATTGGATGCTTTCTTAGGTTAACATCTAATAACTGCTGATTTACTTATATTTTCACAACAACATCTAAAAACTGAGGTGCAACCTTGCTCTGTTTGGGACTGTGAGCTGCACTTGTTAGAGGAGGAGATGCAGAAGTTAGGTCCCAAACGGGTTTCTGTGTCAGTCAAATGGGGAATACTACCAGCAGAGCAATAATGAAAGTTAGGATATGGTAACTCTAGTAGCTCAGGCTGCACCCTCTACTGGACTCCATGGGTACAGTGGGTGGAGACTGACTGTCTTCCGAGCTGCAACAATCCATAGTCCACCTCAACGATCGGCCACAGGCCAGCCACAGGTGCTAAACCACCACATCATCCACAGTGTTAGGATGGTGGGCCACCACTGAGAAGGTCACTAGACAGACCGGTGTTTGGCATGACCAAGAGGGATCTGATCAAACACCTGGGCTGTCCTGACTCCTCCCCGGGATGTCAGGCACAGTTGATGTACGCTCCCTCATTACAACCAGTAACGACCGGTCCCTCTCCTCACAGATCCCGAGTACGGATCCTGAGAAGGAACCCGACACGTCCAAGAGATAAAAAAGCAAAGCCTTCTGAGAAAATATAGATGGCTTTGACCCTTCCTGTAAAGGGCTTGAGTGTTCTTGGCCAGATATTTGTAGTCCTCCTCATTGTCCACAGGGACCCCCTGGATGGAAACCGTAATGGTCGAGTGTGACAGTCCCTTCTCCATCAGGCCTTGCAGGAAGGAGAGAATGGATCCTACTGAGCAGGTTGACAGATCCATCTCCTCCTCAACGCACCAGCGCTGAAAGGTCAACCACTTAGCTTTGTAGCAGCAAGTGGTGGAGCCCACTCTCTCCACTTGGATGTACCAACTCAGCGGATTGTCCAGCCAGCAGTCTATTGTCTTAACCTCTCCCTTTCAGGAACCAAACCTGGTGAAGTTGGTCCAGCACCAGAAGCGTGCCTATGGTGTCTGACTCCTGAGCCCCCCAGACCAGAGGTACAGGCTTGTGTAACCTCTGTGTACCACCCTGCCGACCGGCGGTTGGGGGCTACCAGAATGACGGACAACCGTTTCCCCCTCACCCTCTCTTACAAAGGAGGAATGAGATGGGGTGGGGCAAATGCACACTGCAGCCCTTCTGGCCATGGCGCGTGTGCAAATGCATCCATGCCCAAGGGCGGGCTGTCCTCTGGCAGAATCAAGAACTACAACAAACAGTGGGTGTTGTGCCAGCTGGCAAACAGATCCACCTCCGCCCTCTCGAAGTGAGACCAGACCTCATGAAATCAATATTAATTCCTCACACCCCTGGTTTACAGTGTTGTTTTGGTGTCAAGAGCCGTGCTGCTAGCATGGCTAAAAACAAAAGCTAGCCTTTATTTCAAGAACTAACAGCTAAACTAAACTAAGCTAAAAGTTAACCGAAAATGGAAGTCCACAGAGTAGCAGCAGGAGCTCTGTCTGGCCAGACTCACACAAATACTACAAATTACAATCACAGCTCTTGTTGCTGCTCTGATACATTTGTGATTTCTTTCAGGTCTAAAATACTGCCTGACTTTTGTAGGGAGCCAAAATGACAGCAGTGGACCTTTTGAACACTTTGGAGGATTTAAGTGACAAGGAATTCACTAAGTTCAAATGGTGTCTCAAGCAGCCTGACATGGTGAAAGGTTACCAAACCATCAAAGCGTCTGACCTGGGGAGAGCAGAAAGGCAGGACACAGTGGATCTAATGGTGAGTGCCTATAAACTTCATGGAGCTCTGAAGATGACCAAGAAGGTTTTAGAGAAGATACCCAGGAACGACCTGGTGCAGAGTCTGCCAGAACCCGACCCAGGATCAGGAGGTCAGTTTTCTACGTTTTGCCACTTCTCTTCTTTATTTTTCGGTAAAAAGAGCGTGTTGACTTTGCGACAAAATACTTATAAAGGAACAGGGTCTCTCAGTGCAAAAGCTCAATGCATTCACCACAGAATAAAATTTGAGGCTTGAACTTGTTAATTTGAGAGAATGATTAAGCTATCAATCATTGCTTTTTGAGAGGACAGAGGCATGATTGAGCTATCTGATTCACTTATTTACTTTGTGGCTTGAGACACTGGAAGATGTTAATGCCACTGAGTAATGTGTATAATGTTGTTGTGTGGTATTTTATGCCTTGAGTAAATAACCAATGAGATGTCCTGATGACATAATGCAGTTATGCACATGAGGTTGACCTGTGGATGGACCCGAAATAAAGCAGTAGTTTCCTGCAGGTTGTTGTCAGTGATTTTATGTATGAGATACTAAGAGTAAATATACACAGAATATATATATTAAGTATGACAATTACAACATTGCACATCAGTATACAGTGCATCAGTGCTATCAAAAAGCCACAGTCCAGAATAATTGTAGACACAAAGATTCACTGGTGAAGTTGCACAGTGATACAAGATGAAATTATTTACAGTATATAACACAGACGCATTTTAAAAATCATATTAAAATTTATAACAAATTAACAAGCACAAGTGAAATTGGAAATATAACATAATTTCTCTGTCTCCGTGTCAGCAGCTGTCAATGATGTTGGAGAGACTTCAGAGAACAGAGGACCTTCCTCCTCTCAGTGTGAAGGTACAGCTTGATTATCTGGGATGTATGGAAGCCCTGAAAGTTTTGTTTTCAAAGGCCAAAGGTTATTTTCTTGGCTGTAGACACATTTATTTTGTATGTGGCAATCAGGACACATTGCACATCTATGTGCTGAAGTTGGATTGTTTTCACAGTCGATTTTTCTACAGGAGGCAGTTTAGTCCTTTTTTTTATCAGCACCATTTTTTATGTAGCTAACATTGTCATAAATGTCACTAAATGAATGTACTGTAGACCTTTACTGTCACTACTTTTGTCATTCTTAGACCACTATGTACGAATACTAATATGTATTCAGTCTCATTCTGTGTAATAAAGGTTCTTCAATTTCTTTTGGATGAACTCTGCAAAAAACACTGAGCATGTAGAGAATCAGAGGCAGCACCCTTCTCTGGCTTTAGGCTGAAGGGGAGGCATATTTTGGGGGCAGATAATATTGAAACACAGACAACCCTGATGATATTTGTTGTGTGTTCATTCAGGAACTCCTGATGCAGTTTGTCAGCGTAAACTTAAATCTAAACTGAAGAAGAAGTTCCAGTGTGTTTCTGAGGGGATTGCAAAAGCAGGAAACCGAACCCTTCTGAACCAGATCTACACAGAGCTCTACATCACAGAGGGAGGGACTGCAGAGGTCAATGATGAACATGAGGTCAGACAGATTGAAACAGCATCCAGGAAACCAGCCAGACCAGAAACATCCATCAGACAAGAAGACATCTTTAAAGGCTCACCTGGAAGAGATGAACCAATCAGAACAGTGATGACAAAGGGAGTGGCTGGCATTGGGAAAACAGTCTTAACACAGAAGTTCACTCTGGACTGGGCTGAAGACAAAGCCAACCAGGACATACAGTTCACATTTCCATTCACTTTCAGAGAGCTGAATGCGCTGAAAGAGAAAAAGTACAGCTTGATGGAACTTGTTCATTGCTTCTTTACTGAAACCAAAGAAGCAGGAATCTGCAGCTTTGAAGAGTTCCAGGTTGTGTTCATCTTTGACGGTCTGGATGAGTGTCGACTTCCTCTGGACTTCCACAACAATGAGGTCCTGACTGACGTTACGGAGTCCACCTCAGTGGATGTGCTGCTGACAAACCTCATCAGGGGGAACCTGCTTCCCTCTGCTCGCCTCTGGATAACCACACGACCTGCAGCAGCCAATCAGATCCCTCCTGAATGTGTTGACATGGTGACAGAGGTCAGAGGGTTCACTGACCCACAGAAGGAGGAGTACTTCAGGAAGAGGTTCAGAGATGAGGAGCAGGCCAGCAGAATCATCTCCCACATCAAGACATCACGAAGCCTCCACATCATGTGCCACATCCCAGTCTTCTGCTGGATCACTGCTGGAGTTTTGACAGAAGTGGTGAAGACCAGAGAGGGAGGACACCTGCCCAAGACCCTGACTGAGATGTACATCCACTTCCTGGTGGTTCAGTCTAAACTGAAAAACGTCAAGTATAATAGAGGAGCAGAGACAGATCCACACTGGAATCTAGAGAGCAGGAAGATGATTGAGTCTCTGGGAAAACTGGCTTTTGAGCAGCTGCAGAAAGGAAACCTGATCTTCTATGAATCAGACCTGACAGATTGTGGCATCGATATCAGAGCAGCCTCAGTGTACTCAGGAGTGTTCACACAGATCTTTAAAGAGGAGAGAGGGCTGTACCAGGACAAGGTGTTCTGCTTCGTCCATCTGAGTGTTCAGGAGTTTCTGGCTGCTCTTCATGTCCATCTGACCTTCATCAACTCTGGTGTCAACCTGCTGGCAGAAGAACAAACAACCTCCCAGAAGTCTGAAATAAGAAAAGTTGAATCTGTAGGGATGCAGTTTTACCAGAGTGCTGTTGACAAGGCTTTACAGAGTCCAAATGGACACCTGGACTTGTTCCTCCGCTTCCTCCTGGGACTTTCACTGCAGACCAATCAGACTCTCCTACGAGGCCTGCTGACACAGAAAGGTATTTGCTCAGAAACTAATCAGGTAACGGTCGAGTATATCAAGAAAAAGATCGAAGAGACTCCCTCTACAGAGAAAAGCATCAATCTGTTCCACTGTCTGAATGAACTGAATGATCATGCTCTAGTGGAGAAGATCCAACAGTTCCTGAGTTCAGGAAGTATCCACAGATATAAACTCTCTCCTGCACTGTGGTCAGCTCTGGTCTTCATCTTACTGTCATCAGAAAAAGATCTGGACGTGTTTGACCTGAAGAAATACAATTACTGTGCTTCAGATGAAGAACTTCTGAGGCTGCTGCCAGTGGTCAAAGCCTCCAAGAAAGCTCTGTAAGGGGGATTTATTCATCAATAAATACTGTGCTATCTTTGAACTGGAGAAAAAAATCTATGCATAATTACGTGTTTCCTTCTGGTTGTCTCTCCTGACTGAGTCTGTGAAACCTCACAGAGAGAAGCTGTGATCATGTTTGGCCTGTGTTTTGTTCTACTTGACATTCACATATTGTTCAGCACAAATATATAAACAGAAATTGAGAACCTTATTTACCCTTCAATATAATGTTATTTTAATTACGGTTGTCTGTTTATTCCTGATTCAGCCATGAATAATTGCCACAACATTTTTAAAGTCAATCAGCAAAAAAGAGATTATATACAGTGTCACCATAATCCCAGACTTAACAAATAATATTTTTCTCCTTGTTTATTATTTCCCCTCCAGAATGAGTGGCTGTAACCTCTCAGAGAGAAGCTGTGAAGCTCTGTCCTCAGTTCTCAGCTCCCAGTCCTCCAGTCTGAGAGAGCTGGACCTGAGTAACAACAACCTGCAGGATTCAGGAGTAATGCTACTGTATGGCGGACTGGAGAATCCACACTGTTCACTGGAAACCCTGAGGTCAGATCAAGTTACAGTTTGTGTTTAAATATTTTATTTATTTCTCTTAATATAAAGCACCATTAATTTAAACAGCCTCTCTCATTTCACAGTGCAGAAAATATTTGATATTTTCAAATGTATTTTGTTATAATTCAGATTCACGTATTGTACAGCATTAAATATGAACTCTAACTGAGATGTAAATCCTCATTTATTTTTAATAGTATAATGTAGTTAATTGACATATCTACAACAAGTTTAGAGTAAAAGAGTAATGGTTTTAACACAAATGTTGTTTGTCTTCTTGTTCATTATTTCCTTTTCAGACTGAGTGGCTGTAACCTCACAGAGAGAAGCTGTGAAGCTCTGTCCTCAGTTTTCAACTCCAAGTCCTCTAGTCTGAGAGAGCTGGACCTGAGTAACAACAACCTCCAGGATTCAGGAGTGAAGCTGCTGTATGCTGGACTGGAGAGTCCACACTGTACACTGGAAACCCTGAAGTCAGATCAAGTTCTACTTAAACAAAAAAATTCTAAATATCAAGCACCATTAATTGAAACAGCCTCTCTCATTTCACAGTGTACAAAATCTTTGACATTTTCAAATGTAATTTGTTATAAATCAGATTCTCATTTTGTACTGCTTGAAAATTAACTCTGGCAGAGCTGAAAATCCTCATTTACGTTTAACTTATTATCATTATGTTTATTACTGATTCAGTCATGATTAATGTCAAATCTACAACAGGTTTAGAGTAATAGAGCAATGATTTTAATACATGCCAAGAAGACCTTCTAAACACACTGTATCAGCAAAAGTCCAAATTCAACGATTTAATATTTTATTACAAATGTTGTCTGTCTTCTTGTTTATTATTTCCTCTCCAGACTCAGTGACTGTAACCTTTTTAATAGTATGTGACTTATTATCATTGCATGTATTTTTATTACTCATTCAGTCATGATTAATTGACATATCTACAACAAGTTTAGAGTAAAAGAGCAATGGTTTTAACACAAATGTTATTTGTCTTCTTGTTCATTATTTCCTTTTCAGACTGAGTGGCTGTAACCTCTCAGAGAGAAGCTGTGAAGCTCTGTCCTCAGTTCTCAGCTCCCAGTCCTCCAGTCTGAGAGAGCTGGACCTGAGTAACAACAACCTGCATGATTCTGGAGTGAAGCTGCTGTATGCTGGACTGGAGAGTCCACACTGTATACTAGAAACTCTTAGGTGAGGATTCATAAACCAAATGAGTTGATGAGAACATTTACAATCAGATTTACATTGGTGGATAAAAATCTAACACCAGATGGCTCAAATGAGCCTCCCCACACCTCACAGAGGTTCCATTGTGCCATCTGCCATCAGACTCCACAATTACTAAATCTACCAGTGACAAAGCCCAAAGGATGCTACTAAGACTACCCGGAAGATGCCCCAGATAACTGAGACAAATCATCTATCACTACCAGCTCATCAATGATGTGCTTAATGATTGTATTTGATAAAAAGTGTTATTCCAATGAAAAACTATTTATATGCGCCTATGGTTCTTAGCTTTATTACGGCCTGGGTTAACACCATAGACTGTATATAAGGTTAACACCCCTTTAGTGTCGTTTTTGGACGTCTCAGTGGTCAAGTTAGCAACAATAAATATGTCACGTCCGGTTACGCTTTCAAAATAAAACTAGTGAATAACTTTTTGAAACAGAATATTACTTGTGTTCCCTACACAACCGAAGAAAAAAACTCAATATTGACTTTGTGTTTAACACAGGAAAAGAGTGAAAGTATGGTTTCTGGTCAAGCTGCCCTTCTCAACCATGGCTCCTCCTTACCATAGACTGTAGCCCACATAAAAAAAATAGGGGCCTTAAAGCAGCGCTATTTTGACCCTTGATGCATCCAGTAGTCTCTACCGTGTGCGCTCACTTTAGCGCCAGATCGCATCGACGAAGAACAGAGAGAAGCGGAACCAAACCAGATCACACGGGCCCAGAAGCGGGTCTTCAGTGTAGAAACACCATGGCTCGGGATTTTTGCCGTCAGCAGGAATGATGCCATTTTTTTCCCTGTCGAAACTCTGGTGAGTAACGTTTGTAACCTTTAGGACAGGGCTAACATTAAAAGTGCAGCGTGATGCAGCTTAAATGGGTGAGTTAAAACCATATTACTGTAAGTTAAAGCAGTCGGAGGATGTTGTGAACACAATGTCGTGAACTGTTCAACAGTATTTTGTTGTGTCGTGGTTTCAAACTAATCTCTGGAGTTACTTTTGGATGTGTAAGCACATGTAGTACCTTCAGAGGTATTTTTATTTACAGTATTTATGATAATACATGTTAAAGATAATTTCCTTCTCTAAAATGTGTAAACTCTGTTCAGTATTTTTTGGTTGAAATTTAATCAATTCATAGTTGTGATGCTTGATGCTTAAATGCTGGTAAAGTTATAAATCTTTGGTAACGTTATAACAATGTAAAACTTAAGAAGAGTCCCTAGACAACAGGGTGATGATATTGAGTTTTGACAAACTACATGAGATCTTATTTGAAGAACATTGACTGTGATGATTTATCTGATTTATTCTGCACTATACGTGCAGACTGGTTTTTGAGACCCTGGATTGTAGCTTAGAGATCTACTCTTCTCTGGATGCAGATGGCGAGCGAGTCCCAGAGATGATGCACCCTGTATGATGAGATCAGACCGCGGTGTGGACAGCTGCATCGGGTCCCATTCAACAGGACTGACACATCAGATTACAGGACTCTGGCAGATAAGAAAAGATCCACCACACGTTCACTTTCCTGCCCAAGTAGAGATACAAATAACTGAAAGACACTGGACACTTTTTTAAAATTGTAATTTTTATGAAAGAGCTCTTTTTATTCTGGGGATTGTTTCAAACATGGTTGGTGCACTACCTGCCCATTGTTCTTCAATCACACACAGTCTATTTCTTACCCCAACACTACTTCTCAGAACCTAGGTTGGTAAGTTAGCTAAAGTTCTACACTAGTGTTAAATATTGTAGACCTGTCTTTAGCATTCAAAAACTGTGTTACAGGGCTTTCCCCAGTACGTTGAACTATGTCGCTAAGGGGCTCCCAAGTGTGTTATAGAGTGACAACAAGGGGTCTTGGCCATTCGTCCATATGTGAAAACTTGGGAGTGAGAACGGGTTGGGTTGTAGATGGTTGATTTTATAAGAACAGTTGTACAGTTTATGCAGCAATAGTCTCGCGTGTTGTTGTGTTTTTTTGTGAATGAATGGGTGAAAGGTATTTTGTAATAAATAATATGTTCTGTATCCCTTTGTGTTATGTCCGTTTCCTTTTTCTGTTCATTAGAAAACTGATTCTTGTGTTACAATATCATTTGTAAATGCTTTGTAAGGCATAGATAGTCCTCACTTTAGATGAGCTCACACAAAGTACTTAACAACTAGTGAATGCTTTGTAACTACTTGAATTAATCATGAAATACTTTATTAACAAATGTTTAGAGAACATCTATTGCCTTTTAATTTCATTTGTAAATTGTTAATGAGCTCACGCAAAATACTGACCTAACCATTAGTACCTACCAGAATTAATCATGAATTGCAGTATTATTAAGTGTCATAAAACATCTATGAACACCCACTATTAGACCATTTCTAAATAACTACATGTCATGTCAAGTTCGCGGTTGATCAAAGCACTGGGGGGGAGTAAGATTGGTGTCTTTCAACAGACCATCCAAGCAACCCTTTGCTGGTCCAATCACAGCAGATCTCTGGAAGCGCAGATCTTGGAGTTTTGATGAGAAGTTCAGAGAAACAGTACCAGGCCTGTAACGGTGAGGTTTTTACCCTGTAAAGTTAGCTGGGGCATCTTTAGGGTAGTCTTAGTAGCATCCTTTGGGCTTTGCCACTGGTAGATTTATGAGTTATGCTGAGATTGTTTATATTCTTTCGTGGGAAAGTATAAAAAAACAGGCAGTTATGTAATAATTTTCTTAAACTTTCCAAATGATCTTATGAACCATTAACAACTCATACATAAATGGTTTGTCATCAAAATAATACTTCTATAAATAGTGAACCGATCATATATAAACTAAGAAAATTAGCTTATTAATAAAGAATACAACATGTATAACTATGTTTATAAATGACTTACTAATGTGTATTAATGTATGCATAATGCTTTATAAATGATGAATTCCTTATTTACTAGTGCTTAACTAATGCTTTATAGTGTGTAGTTATTATAAAGTGCTACCAAAATCTTATCTTAACTTGTTACCTTTGTAGAATTGTGTCTGCTTACATGATTTTCAAGGACCTTTACACTTTGACAGTTGTTACCTTCTATTAAGATGTTTCATTATTTTCTGTTTTGTTCTTTTGTTGTATTAAACATTATATCAAATGCCACTAATAATTTTAAATATTTGTGGTAAATTTAAATCTTAACTAAAATGCACCTGAAGAAAAAACTAATAAACAAAAACACTCTTGTTTACAGAGGATTCCTGTGTGTGTTGCTTTGTGTGTTTGCAGGCTGTCAGGCTGTCAGATCACAGAGAAAGGCTGTGTTTCTCTGGCCTCAGCTCTGAGCTCCAACCCATCCCATCTGAGAGAGCTGGACCTGAGCTACAATCATCCAGGAGACTCGGGAGTGAGGCTGCTGTCTGCTGGACTGGAGGATCCACACTGGAGACTGGACACTCTCAGGTATGAAGGTGCCTTCTGCAGCCACAGACAGTCAGTCTGATAGAGGAAGTATTTTTGGTTAATGGTGGATATAAGTGTTATGAACAATCACACAGGTAGGAAGCCTTTTCCCTTTGCAGAACAGAAACACTGGTTGAAGATAAAAAAGGATATCTTACTGCAGGAGGTCTCCATATCCAGGAACAAACATAATAATTGCCTGTTGGTAATAATTGATGTAGTTTGGACAGATCTCTGCATGTTAAAAGAACTGTCTGTCAGTCTGACAAATATATTTTTATACCCTCCACCTACGCTCAACGGCATGTTGCGCCTAGCTTAGCACAAAGACTGGAAGCAGGGGGAAACTGCTAGCCTAGCTTCATCGAAAGAGAAAAAATATTCCAATACCTCCAAAGTAGTTATATTATATTTTTTGAAAAGTGTATTGTTACAGACATGAAAAAATAAATAATGTCTTGTCAGGAAAATAATTCAGGACTGGGGCCAGATGAAGAAGTCAAAACTCTTTTGAGACATTTTTATTCTCAGCAAACAACTGGAGTACAAAAAATTCTTTCGGATTTTTCGAAGAACATGCCAGCATGCCAACAACTTCTTTTATAGCTCTCTTTATAAGCAGGACCTCTTCTCTTGGCTGTTTTTCTTCCTGGAATCAGTAGTTTCAAAGCCAGCTATGCTATTATTTATGGTCTTGATGACTGTGCACCTGTGCCATAGATGGATAGATACGACCTAAACACCAGTTATATCTGGTCGTATGGAAAGTCCGAGATAGTCAAGCTGCTGACACTCTGAGTCTGAACACACAGTTAGACAGTCTACCCCACTTTACTGACAACACCATCTCAGGGTACATACCAAATGCACCTGACTTTTGGGGAAAGTCCCAGAGAGTGGGCCACTCCACTGTGAGCTCAGTAGGATAATAAGTACAGAGCATCCTACACCTGGTTCTTACGGAAAGCCCCAGAATGCAGACGATACATTGTCATCTTGAGACAGGGCACCAAATGCTGACCAATGCTGAGAATGCTATTCTCTCAGTGCTCCCTCTTTCTCTCAAATGCACAGACCTGTCTTTCTGTTGACTACACAGAGCTACAAATTTTTAACTTAACTTCAGATATGTATATAGTTAGTAAATATATATTGGTATATGATTTGTAATACAGTTTACTCACAAATTTCCTTCTACAGCCCACTTTTTAACAAAACATGAAGGAATAATTAATGCCCATTCAAGAGCTGAAATAAAGGCAGATATGAGTTTTCTGAGTGGCAGAGTAGAGAAGAGAATGTTTGATTCTGAAAGAGGATGTGCTGGTCTGACCCCCCTCCCCCTTTAGGGTGAAGCCTGGTGGAGTCCGATGCTTGAGACCGGATCTGAGAAAGTGTAAGTGTGTTTTTTTTTTTTTATTCATGAAAACAAAGCAGCACACATTCAACCATCTTCAGACTGAACTTCTGATGTCATTATCAAAGTCTCAATCAATGAACGGATGATAGATCAATAACTGCAGCTGGATTGTGTCTCGTTCTCTCCATCAGATTCCTGTGAACTCACACTCGACACAAACACAGTATATAGAGAGATCAAACTGTCTGACAACAACAGGAAGGCAACACGTGTGAGGGAGGATCAGTCATATCCTGATCATCCTGACCGCTTTGACTCCTGGCCTCAGCTGATGTGTAGAAATGGTCTGACTGGTCGCTGTTACTGGGAGGTTGAGTGGAGAGGAGCAGCTGATTTATCAGTGAGTTACAGAGGAATCAGCAGGAAAGGAGGCAGTCATGACGGAGGGTTTGGATGGAATGATCAGTCCTGGAGTCTGAACTGCTCTTCTAGCGGTTACTCTGTCAGTCACAATAAGACAGGAACATCGTGCTCCCTATCCTCCTCCTCCTCCTCTGGTAGAGTAGCAGTGTATTTGGACTGTCCTGCTGGCACTCTGTCCTTCTACAGAGTCTCCTCTGACACACTGATCCACCTCCACACCTTCAACACCACATTCACTGAACCTCTTTATCCTGGCTTTGGACTCTGGTCTGATTCCTTCTCCGTGTCTCTGTGTTCTGTGCAGGACAGGGAGTCTCCTCCTTGTTAAAGCAGTGGTTCTCAAACTTATAACCCCCTTCAGAGGCCAAAACAGGTTCATGCCCCACCACCACATAAACAGTAGATTTAATTTTATTCAGTCATAAACAACACAGGTGATTGAGAAAAAACAAGATTCAGGTTAGCAAAATAGCATTGCTAGCAGCAGAGCACTTTTGTTGATGTCATTAACATGAATCATGTTCATCCAACTTTAGGTCTGCTCAACATCCATGCCCCCCTTAAGTGGCTCTACCACCCCTAGTTTGAGAACCACTGTGGTAGAGAAACATTGACACTGCTGAACAGATCAGTTGAGTCTGTCCTAGGGGTGTGTATATTCACTGGTCTCAAGATTCGATTAGATTGCAACTCGATATCTCGATGCATCACCTCTAGGGGAGGGAATCTTTAGGCATCTCGTTACGATTATGAGGCCTACAATGCAATTTTTAAACAAATAGGATGAAGATGCAACTACTTAGTACTTTCAAACCAAAGTATTTGTAATTACCAACCAAGTAGTTAGTAATGGCATGTGGCTTTTTAAACATTACTTAAATATATAAATAAATGTAGCTAACGTTACATGGTATTATATTACAGTTTTATTGCATTATTACAGCAATAAATTCTTACAGCATTATTACTGACCTGTTTTGTTGCTATTTTAATTTCTGATGCAGCAATCATTAGTATAGATTCAAATACGGGATGAATAACACACTTTACTATGCTCCAGCCACACCATGTTCACTCCACCTTAGTACATCTGGGGGGTTTTTTGTCTTGTCTAGTGTAGTTAAATGTTTGTGTCTTGTTAAGTTGATTATTGTAATTTTGTTTTGAGCACTGGACCATGAGAAACGGAATTTCATTCCTTTGTGCACTCAATATGTGAATGAACGACACTAAACAAACTTAAACTAGCCACCGCCAGCAGCTTCCAGACTGCAGTCTAACCAGACGTTAGCTAGCACTAACCGCCCTCACTTTTCAAGCAGTTGGAAAACAACAGACAGACTTTAATTAACGGACACACTGTGACCTCCACTGTACATTTACTGCCAGGCATCATTTTACTCTGCTCCACTTGCTTTCACTGTCACGTTCTGCCGCCTATCACTTAGATTGTGTCATTTGAAGAATGAGGAGAGGACGGTAGCCAGCCGTTACCGTGCTCGCACAATCAGTAAAGTTAGTTGTGCATTGATATTAATGATTGTGTGGAATTTAAATTGCTGCAATCATTCATTCAACACATGCAGTCTTTTACAGACACATGATTTGATTTTTGACATTTGTGAATCGGTTCCGAATCGTCCAAGTCCGCATCCCAATACATCTAAGAATAAATTATTTTTCACATCCCTAGTCTGTACAGGATCACAGTTCCAGAAATCAGCTTCTTGTAATAAATTCATCAATGAACTTTGTACAAAGTGATTAAAAGGGATTAAACAGATTTCTTAATTTTCATTGTAAACTTCTTCCACTTCCAGTCCTTTAAAGATAGAAGCTCTGATCATTAAATGGTGGAAATGCCGTTGACTTGGACCTTCTGTCATGTGTTGCTTTGAATTCTGGCTCTTGTTCCAATAAAAGCAGAATGTTACTGTGAGTGTGTTTATTGTCTTTCTCAGCTCAGGGCTACTGACAGGATTCAGTTGGAAGATACAGTATATGGCCAAACGTTTGTGGACGTCGTTGTACAAAAAGAAATGCTTTTCCCAGTTTGTTCTTGCTTCATATGGGAAACAAAACATCAACATCAATCAATCATTAGTACTTGTCCCTGTGGGGGAATTGATTTGTAGCAAAATTACAAGGCATTTCATTACAACATCACAAACACCAACAGACGGTATTGATACGCAACCCTGCACCTTTCTACAGATTAGGCTAGCCAGACCCGCTGAATATCTTGCTTATTTTTATATGTGTTACCTGTTTACTAACTTAATGGCTTTATGGCTTTTTATTAAATTTTTATTTAGGAGATGCAAGATCGTCACCCTGATGGCAAAAATTCAAATTAAGAGTCACTGGGGGTGCCCCTTGTCACCCACAATGCTGTGTGCAGCAATAGTCTTTTCCGGTGCCTCAGTAGCATTGCTAAACCAGCAAGGGATGTAGAAAGCCAAACATATCCAATAAGAGCACAGTAAAACTTTTCAAGCATTTTGTTGTGGATGTTAAATTATTATTATTAATTATTATAGATTTCTTTACAAAGTACATTTTTCATTGTGTCTTAGTGCTATGAGGTCAGACCACAGATCCCATTTAAACTTATGGTCAAGCACAATGCCAAAGTACCTGTAACTAGTAACAGACTGCATAGCGTCCCCATTGATGAAGGTAGAATTAGAGGATTGCAGCTTTCTGAAACAATGGACGTTTGCTTTGGTAGTGTTTAGGAGAAGGAGGAGGAGGCTTGACATTTCACAACAATATTGGAAATAATTATACAAAGAGGCTCATCAAGCCAGTATCATCTGTCAGGGGAGGTGCTAGTGCAAGACGTGTGTGTGTGTATGTATGTATTAAATTAAATTAAATTTTATTTATATAGCGCCAAATCACAACAACAGTTATCTCACAGCGCTTTTCATAAAGAGCAGGTCTAGACCGTACTCTGTGATGTTATTTACAGAAGCCCAACAGTTCCCACCAAGAGCAGCACTAGGAGACAGAGGCAAGGAAAAACTTCCTTTAAGAGGCAGAAACCTCGAGCAGAACCATGGCTCAGGGTGGGCGGCCGAGAGAGGGGGGGGGGAAGAGAGAGAGGGGGGGGAAAGAGAGAAGAGAGGGATGGAAGGAGAGAGAGAGGGAGGCAGCCTACACAATATACACACAGAGGTACAGACAGTAAAGGTGATGTTGCTATAGACTGAATTAATGAATGGCACGGTGGTCCAGTGGATAGGACTGTGGCCTCACAGCAAAAAGTTTGTAGTTCAAACCCTGTTCGTCCCGGCCTTTCTGTGTGGAGTTGGCATGTTCTCGTATAGTTCAGCAATACAAACTCAAAAGTTATCAAACAGTGGTCGGACAAAGAGGGATTTGTGGGAACACCACTAAATGTTCAATTTCAATACCATACACCAAACAAGGTCGAGGGTGTGGTTAAAACAGTGAGTCGGTTCATGAACACTCTGAGAGAAGCCGATGGAATCTAACAGAGAGATAAACGCAGTACTGAAGCTGTCATTCTCAACATCCACATGAATATTAAAATCCCTACAATAATAACTTTGTCCGTTTTAAGGACTAAAGTTGACAAAAACTCAAACTGCAAATTCAGATAGGAATTCAGAGTACGGGCCAGGTGCTCGGTACACTATAACAAAAAGTAACAAAAATAAATAATTTAGTTTAGGTTTAGAGCTGATTAGTAGGCTAGAGTCGAAGATAGCTGCAACTCCACCTCCTCGGTTTGCACTATTGCTCTTGTGGTTTTAATTTTTATGAGGTTTTTATGCACAGCTCCTCTTCTGTTTACCTTTGATTTAAATAATTTCGATGGTCGGGGGGCAGACACCGTCACTATAGGGTTTTCACTCAGTAACTCCTGAAATGGAGGAGCAGAAAAGTGCGTTAGACTGCGACTCTGCGTAGGGTTTTGGGTGGTTAACGATACATAACGAACGTATGTTAACGATAAATTCAAAAAGAGTAGTTTAGAAAATCATATTATATTTCATGATTTTATAACAAAAGCTCCATCTAGTGGCCGACTGGTGCAGATTTTGGATTATCAAAATGATTAACAACATTAGATCATGAGGGTTCAGATAGTCTATCAGCACTTTTTCATGCAGATTGGGCTTACCAACCAGGAGGAGTTTGAAAAAGAAGATATGCACGTCATGATTTTGCAGCTAAAGCGCCACCATGTGGCTGATTACAGACAGATTTTGCATAGAGTCGTTATTGGGAATTGGAAGGGCCCAAGTTTCTCCATAACTTACTGAAAGTTGTTCTTTTATAATTTGTGCATTTTTTGGATAAAAAAAATAATTTTACAAATTTAAGATTATGAGGGTCGACAGAGTCTGTGTGTGTGTGATTTTGTGCAGATTGGCCTAGCAGGAGTTCGAAAAAGTTGGCTTTGCACATTTCATGATTTTGCTAAATTAAAAATAGGTCAAATGTAATGCATTTAAGAGGTTTGAATGTGTGACATATCATGAGGGAGTTACTGTCCAAAACACACTTACCTTGATTATAGCGCCTCTTGCTGGTAGACATATATAATTTGTGTGCACATCCAACCCAGCTATTCATCCAACTGTTTGAAAAAAAATTTTTTAATAATTTTAGCATATTTCAGACAAATAGCTAAGAACAAGGACAACAAATTCTGTACTTACTTATTTCTACCATGTTAATTCTCAAAGTCATATGGGCCTGTAAATTAAGTTTGGTCACTTTTATTTTGAAAATGACAGAAGTGGTACCGGAAGCAGGGGAACTTCCGGTGGCTAACATGCTAACTCTTCCTTTCGTTACCGCAAGATGCAGCCGGAGCTCGGCCTCACAGTCGGAGCAGCTTCCATAGAGACCAAACTGTATTTTTCACGGAGCCCAAATGTCCAAATGTCCAGATAGAGCTGTCTGAATAGACTCTGTGCTGTTCCCTTTATCTGAACATGTTTAACATCTGAATTATCTCCCGCTGTCCTACGAAGCTAATGCAGTTAGCTTAGCTTGCTAGCTGGAAACAGTCTGGAGGAAAAGCTGCTGTGAATCAGTAAAAATGTCTAAAGTGGAGAACGAGGAGGAACTTTGTGGACAACGCAAACTACTGGACGCTGTTTTCAAGCCTGAAGCAGGTTTGTACTCTTTACTGCTTATTCTCACTGTAAACTGCCTTTACTGCAGTAAAAGTACTAATACCACTCTGTGAAAATACTCCACTGCGAGTAAAAGTCCTGCATTCAAACCTTCCTTCAGTAAAAGTATGTGAGTATTATCAGCAACATGTACTTACAGTATGACAGTAAAAGTACTCACAGTGCAGTAAAATGTTCCTGTCAGAGTTTCTCTGTTATATCTGATGTTTCTGGATTGATATTCCTGCTGCATCAATGCTGCATTTTACTGCTGCAGATGTTTCTAGTCATTTTAATTCCTTTATATCCTGCTGGGTAGTTTAATCTGCAGAAATGCATCATGGTCTATAAGATCATCGTGTGTAGCATTGCTGTCCTGTGAGAACCAAGCTTCTATTTCTGGTGAGCAGTTGGCACCTTGCATGTATGTAGTGTAAAGCACTTTGGCTGTTCTGAAACTAATATATTACAAATCCAGTGTTTTAATTTAATTAAAGTGGCCTCAAGGGTGGAAGTGATGAAATGTATTTAATGTATTGTGGTATCGTCAGTGTATAATTTTTTCAACTAGAGCTCAACCGATTTGTTGTGCAGATATTTGCGGCCGATATGGCCTAATTGCAGGTAAATTAACATCAGCGTTTATAACAGCTGATATATGACTATTAAAACAGAAACAGAGTAAGATTCTTCCCTCAGGTCATGAGTGTCGCATAGTTTGCCCACCAGAGGGCACTCTGCAACTGTTAACTACACTGCTGCACCACAAAAACCACAGAAGATAAACAGTCAGCTGACCGGGGTCTACCAGAGCATGTACTGAAAACATTCATGACTTACTAACCCTCCCGTTTTTGATTTTCCTCTCCCCGCTTCCACGCAGGTCAAAGCAGTAACTTTTAATGTTACAGTAGTTGGGTTTTGGTGTCTACCAGAGATGGGAACTCGAGTCCGACTTAAGTCGCACACAGTGACTTCAGACTCGACTTGAGACTCACTGTCAAAAGACTTCAGATTTGACGGAATTGAGGTGCGGGACTCGTGAACAACGTTTATTTTTAGGAAACGTCTGATGAACTTGCTGTTATCCCCTCCCTGCGTTACCTATAACCTGCCTACATAACACGTAGCTGCAAACGGCCGCACGTGAGAGAGTCATCATAAACTTTGGCTTTAAAACTTCATACAACAAGGCCCAAACAAGGAAGCACTGAACGCAAAATAGGTTAGTAACCTGAGTAAACATGTTTACAGTGTACATGTAACAGTTTTATTTGGTTAACGTCACACTGGGTTTGAGAGTCTGCGGGGTGTATAAACTTACAGTAGTTAATAAGCTGTCATTAATTGCATTGCTCTGTAAGTGAAAACCGGTTGCAGTTACAGAATCCCTTATAGCTATGCAATTTTTTTAACAGCCTGGATTGAACGCAGCAGGTGATACAACATTGATTGTAACCACAAGTGACTTGAGACTTGACTTGCACTGTAGCTCAAAGACTTGTGAGCCTCTCTGCTCTGCTGAACACTGACTTTGAGCTCAGCTCCGACCCAGACAGCAGGATTTCTATGATTTCAACAATTTTTTGTTGTTCACAGTGTAGCACAGTTGTTGATTAGCTTTGCAGTTTTATAAAACGTGTATGTATTTCACAGACGTCCAGCTGCTATTGGTGAGTGAAGAAGAGGTTCCCCCTCAACAGCAGGAGTTGAGACCCAGTCTGGACCAGGAGGACCCACCGGAGCCCCCATACATCAAAGAGGAGTGGAGCCCCGGTCTGGACCAGAGGGGCTCACCTATTAAAGAGGAACAGGAGGAACTCTGGACCAGTCAGGAGGGAAAGCAGCTTCAAGGGCTGGAGGCAGTTGATCTTACCAAGTTCACATTCACTCCTGTCCCTGTAAAGAGTGAACAAGATGATGAAGAGAAACCTCAGTCCTCACAGCTTCATCAAAGACTAACTGAAGAGATGGAATCAGAATCTGATGGAGAGGACTGTGGAGGACCAGAACCAGCCAGGAACTCGGATCCAGAGAGACATTTACAACCAGATACTGACAAGACTTCTGATTCTTCTGAGACTGATGACAGTTGTGATTGGGTGGAGTCTGGTTTAAACCCTCTACAAAACAACGAAGTAAGTGATGTGGAATGTAACACTGGTAAAACATCAAGCAGCTCCTCTAAATGTTCTACAAGCTTTGGCCACAAGGGACGTCTGCAGAAACCATTTAGTTGCTCTGTTTGTAATAAAACTTTTCAATGCAGAAAAAATGTTGCGAGGCACATGAAAATCCACACCGGGGAGAAACCCTTCTATTGTTCTTTCTGTAATAAAGGATTTGGGCAAAAGGAACATCTGAGACAACACACAGCAATCCACACAGGGGAGAAACCCTTCAGATGTTCTGTCTGTGGTAAACAATTTATATGTAAAACACATCTGCGACGACACTCAGCTGTCCACACAGGGGAGAAACCCTTCAGTTGTTCTGTGTGCGGTAAAGAATTTGCACGAAGTTCAGATTTGGTCTTACACGTAAGAGTTCATACAGGAGAAAAACCTTTCACATGCTCAGTTTGTAAAGCAGGTTTCAGTCGCAGGGGCAATTTGTCCAGACACATAAGAATGCATAGCGAGGACAAACCCTTTAGTTGTTCAGTTTGTGGTAAAGGATTTGTTGAAAGGCGAACTCTGAGAGAACACTTGAGGATACACACAGGAGAGAAACCCTTCATTTGTTCTGTTTGTGGTAGAAGATTTGCACATAGCTCCACTTTAACCACACACTTAAGGGTTCATACAGGAGAAAGACCATACACATGCTCAGTTTGTAAAGCAAGTTTCAGTCTCAGATACACTTTGTCCCAACACATGGGAATCCACACAGGGGAGAAACGATTTAATTGCAGTATTTGTGATAAAAGATTCACTCGGCATCATATTTTCAAAAACCACAAGTGTGCTGGTGAGAGCAGTGGAAGTAAATGAAGCTCTGTGAGCTGATTGCTTCCAGCAGGATTGAAGAACTGGTAGATAAAGTCAATTGAAGCAAATTCCTCAGTTTGGATGAGGTCATGAAATTGATTTACCTGAGGTCTGTTTTAGCAACCCTTTCTCACTCCCCGACTCGTCACATCTGGACACATGGTCAATACCCATCAGCGTCAGTTTGTAACATTTCACAACTTTACTGGACGTTGCATATTTGTTACTAAGCGTTGCTAACTTGACCGTAGAGCCTTAAACATCTAAAAATTATGCTAAAGGGGTAACCAGGGCGTAAAAAAGCGACGCCAAAGGGGCTTGACCAAGCGTCAATATGTGATGAGTCGGGAGTGAGAATGTGTTGCAATTTTGAACTGCATTGTAAGTTATTACCCTTACAGTACCCACAGCTGCTGTTTCTCCACACTAGTTGAACTATAACTTGAACTAGTTAGTGTTGTGTATTAATATAAATAATTATTAATATATTGTATATGTATTAATGTATAATAATAATTTATTCATGTATTCATGCTAGGTAAAGGCGAGGAGTATTGCTGGCAAACTCTTCCAACATTTATTAAAAAGAAACTTCCAACTTTCCTTTTAAGTAAAATTAAAGTTGCTCTCCGTTGTCCCTCCCGTAACCACCAGTTTAGATAAAGATCAAACCTACAACCTCTTCACCCTGAGCTACTGGTCTAGACAGTTTTTTAATGCCATTCAGTCACAGAGGAGGGAACATCAGTTCAGTTGGTTATCTTTTACTAATTAATTAATTACTGAATATTTCTATGTTAGTTTGCACCTTTTTTTCCTGTGTTTTCGTACACATACAGCAAAATTAATACTTTGTAAAATTCTGTTCAGGAGCAAATTTTTAACCATTTTAATTAGGACTGCAACTAATGATTCGTTTTTTGTTTGAATAATTGATTGATGTCTGAACATAACAAAATAAAATAATTAAAAGGGGAAGACTGGTGTTTATTTGTGCTTTTACAGTTTCTAGTCAACAACCAGTGGTAAGTTACTACCAAATACAGTGGTGGATGAAGTACCCAGATCTGTTACTTAAGTAAAACTATGTAAGTATAATCAGAGAAGTGTATTTAAAGTATTAAAAGTGAAAGTACGCAATGTAGAATGAACAATGTCCCCTGTTTGTCATTTCCACCACTGCCAAAATGTAAAACTTTATAGATTACCAGTTACTGCCATTTGAGAGTAATTAGTTAGGGGTGATGATGGCGCATAGATAAGATGCTTGCCTTTGGTGTGGGAGACCCGGGTTCCCACTGTGAGACATCCACCATTGTGTCCCTGAGCGAGACCCTTAACCCCTCGTTGCTCCAGAGGTCGCAGGCCTCTGGAGCAACGAGGGGTTAAGGGTCTGCGACCTCTGACATAAATAGCAATTGTAAGTCGCTTTGGATAAAAGCGTCAGCTAAATGAATAAATGTGAAATATTACTGTCTCTGAATTGTGATGCTTTACACTTAATTTTGTGTAAAAATGTGTTGTGCGTACGTAACTGAGATTGTAACGGGTATAAAATTACAGAAATTTTAGTAGTAATGCGTTACATAACAGTATCACAGCAAAAAGCAAATACATAACTTTTGTATTGTGATACTCCCAACACCACATATAACAAACTGATAGGGGCCAGCAGGGGGCGCTGTGGGAACACTACTGTCTGCAAGAGTGCCAATTAGTGGTTAATAAGGTTAGACCCAGAACAATGAACACACGGGTAGATCACTTAAAAAGCATTCATTAGTGAGTGTGTGAATGTAAATAAACCTTTGTGTTGGGACATGAAATTTAATCTGGTATTCATTTTGGGGGAAACTAAAAATTGCCGTTCGGGGGGGCTTTGAGTCATGGCTGCAGTATTTTTAAACTCCTGGCTGCTGCTCCTTCAATGAAACTTTAATATCTCAAATACATAATATACATAATTAATACGCATGAAAGTGAATATAACTGTGCTGTAGAGACCTTATGTGACAATTGTTACGATCTCCACCTTATTTACTGTTTCTCTACCTCGCAGGAATCTTTTTAATGATGTAGTTCAAACCAGAAGCAGTGAACTAAAAGTGAAATGTTGGAAATGGTGATTTATATGTGAGGAATTTGGCCAGAAACAGAATCACATGAATCTATTGAAAACGGGGGGGTTAGAGCAGTAATGAGCTTTATGCCTTTACGCTGTGCAACGTTGTGCAACGGGCCTCGAGGAATGTGTAGGTACCAAGTCCGTGCTTAATATCTGTACTCGCTTTAAGGTCTTTCTGTGATATCCTTTTTTAAATATTTGTTCTCTTTTTTTTTGTTGTATTGTTGTTGTAGTCCCCCCTGGCTATGCACCTTTGTATCTATCTGTATCTTTGCATCTTTGTAAAGCTGATTCTGATTATGTGTTGTATTTATCCTTTGCACACAGCTTGGCTTTGCAATGTTGCCTTGTTAATGCCTTTCTACTATTAAAGTTTGTTTTCTCACGTTTGGTGGGTGTGTCACAGGTGTTCACCCTGTCAGGCAGAGACATGCAGTGCGGCAGGACCCCGTTTCCCTTGAAGAAAGCGTTTGGCTTCTTCTTGTCGGCGCTGAACTCGCCTCCAGAGTCACTGCTCACGATAGGCGCAGGACCCCGAGCCGATCTGACCATCCGAGCACATCTGGTACCTACACCTGCATCCTATTTCCTCCGGTGTACTAAAACTCTGTGTGCGCCTATTTTCCACCAAACTCTCTTGCTTCACCCTCCCCCAACAAGAACTTAAGTCTCACACTGTGTGAAACTAATTTTAACGTTGCTGTCCTTATCTTCATGCCGTCAGTATGTATTAATATTAATTAGAGCCATTTCACTGACTGACTTTACTGGCGTTCCTGTAAATAAACAGCTTCACCTTGTCTGTTGTCTCACAGTGACCTGTCCTGCTGCCCTGCATCTACAGTGACCCTCAACCAGAGACTGTCTGTCTTCTGGAGGGACATAGAAGACAACATTGTACTGGACATTAGAAAAAACAGTACCACACTATTCAACCCAGAGCAAGAAATTAAGTGGTCGAGTGTTGTGTTTCCTCCAGAAGAAGGGACACTACTCCATCATCATGAAAAAGGTCCAGAAGACAGACAGCGGCCCGTATGAGTGCCACATCTCGTTGGGGGTCCGTGTCCCTCAGCTTCTCAGGTTTGTAGACTCCTTAATGTTTTCTGAAATTTGTAACGGTGCCATGACAGACCAGCAGGTGGCAGCAGACGCACAGTACCCACACTGCATACTGGCGTTAACATGGACACAACCAAAGATCTCCATGTTGGTGTGATTGTTTCTGATCATGAAAAACTTTGTATAATAAAACTAATCTCATTCTGGTCGTGACTCTTAACAGGGTTGTAGTTTGTTCACACTGAAAAACCATTGTGTGACAAGTTTATTCAAAGCAGAGAACTCAAATATAACCACTGTGCTGCTGGACACTTTTCTCCAACAATGCAATAATTATTAAAAATAATAATAATCTTTTTGTTTTTAAAGCACATTTTAGTACAAGATTTGCAAGATTTCAAAGTGCGGTACATAAAAACAACTAAAACCCCAAGCAAATACATGGAGATCATACAAAGAGATAAACTTCAGAGCCTCCAGCACAAGTGAACAGAGTGAACATGATGCACTGAGAGGAACTCAGTGCATCATGGGAAATCCCCCGGCAGTCTAGGCCTATAGCAGCATAACTAAGGGCTGGTTCAGGACTCACCTGAGCCAGCCCTAACTATAAGCTTTATCAAAGAGGAAAGTCTTAAGCCTACTCTTAAATGTGGAGATGGTGTCTGCCTCCTGAACCCAAACTGGAACCTGGTTCCACAGGAGAGGAGCTTGATAGCTGAACGCTCTGGCTCCTAGTCTACTTTTGGAGACTCTAGGAACCACAAGTAACCCTGCATTCTGGGAGCGCAGTGCTCTGGTGGGGTAGTAAGGTACTATGAGCTCTTTAAGATAAGATGGTGCCTGACCATTAAGAGCTTTGTAGGTAAGAAGAATGATTTTAAATTCTATTCTGGATTTTACTGGAAGCCAATGCAAAGAAGCTAAAACAGGAGAAATGTGATCTCTTTTCCTGGTTCCTGTCAGAACACGTGCTGCAGCATTCTGGATCAGCTGAAGAGTTTTAATGGATAGTAATCCAGCCTAGAAGTAACAAATGCATGGACTAGTTTTTCTGCATCATTTTTAGACAGGATGTTCCTGATTTTCGCAATATTACGTAGGTGAAAAAAGGCGGTCCTTGAAATTTGCTTAATGTGAGATTTAAACGAAATGTCCTGATCAAAGATAACTCCAAGATTCCTCACAGTGGTGCTGGAGGCCAGGGCGATGCCATCCAGGGAAACTATATCTTTAGATAATGCGTCACGGAGGTGCTTAGGCCCCAAAACAATAACTTCAGTTTTATCTGAGTTTAACATGAGAAAATTACAGGTCATCCAGGTTTTAACATCCTGAAGGCACATTAGAAGTTTAGCTAACTGATGAGTTTCATCTGGCTTGATCGATAGATATAACTGAGTATCATCTGCATAACAATGAAAGTTTATGGAATATTTCCTGATAATATTGCCTAAAGGAAGCATATATAAAGTGAAGAGGATTGGTCCGAGGACAGATCCTTGTGGAACTCCATGACTAACTTTGGCGTGCATGGAGGACTCATCGTTAACATGTACAAACTGAAATCGATCTGATAAATAGGACTTAAACCAGCTTGATGATGAGCTCTAAATCCTGACTGAAAATCCTCAAATAAACTATTGCTCTGTAGAAAGTCACACAGCTGTTTAGCAACTGCTTTCTGCAGAACCTTAGAGAGAAATGGAAGGTTAGATATAGGTCTATAGTTGGCTAAAACATCCGGATCAAGTTTGGGCATTTTCAGAAGAGGTTTAATTACAGCTACTGTAAAGTACTGTGGTACATCCTATTTTCCTCTATTAATGATGAGTAGTACGCTGCTCTGGCATTACGGAGGGCCTTCCTATAAGTTTTAAGACTATCTTTCCAAATTAAACGAGAATTCTCCAGTTTGGTGGAACGCCAATTCCTCTTAAGTTTCCGCAATATTTGCTTTAATGTGTGAGTTTCTGTAATATACCATGGAGCTAACCATCATTGTTTTAGTATTTTAATTTTTAGAGGAGCTACACAGTGGAGTGTCATTCGCAGAGAGCCAGCAGCACTATCAACAAGAAGATCGACTTGGGAGGGACTGAAATTAGCATAGGATTCGTTCGGATTGGTTCGTTCTTTGATTATTTCGTTTCAAAACCAAATCAGTTTTGTTTTTTGTTTTAAACCCAAAAAGGAAAAACAAAGCAGCTGCATTTTGTTCTACTGACCGGTTTTCAAACTAACAGGCTGCTGTGCGCCTGTGGTCTGCCTCCCCAGATTGGTCACACTCGCATCATATAGGCTATTTCTTTCCAAGTCGCGTCGCATCTCATAGTGTCGAATATGATTGTAGAAGTGAGCACTATATTATACACACGGAAAAAGAAATTAAATAAACATCAGCTACTTTTTTGCAAGATCAGTAGTGATGCAACTTTCAGTTTGTAACTCAGTAGCAATAAAACAAAACGCAGCTGCTTTGTTTTTCCGTTTTTGTTTTTCCTTGTTATCACACACGCTCCACTGCCTGCTCATGTAAATATAAGAGTGAAAAGCACCAAAAAACTCGGGGGTTGTGGGTTCGATCCTTATCGAAAGCTTTTGAGACGCTTTTAGCTCTACAAAAGTGAAGAAATAAAAGCGCCCACAGAAAAAGAACAATTGTGAAGGGTATTCAGTGGCGTGGTGAGATTGTCTGTGCCTGTGGCGCAGTGTCTCTGGGTTCAAGTCCCATCTGTTGCTGGTACCCTGGATGGAGGGCCCCCTTGAAACTCGGGGGTTGTGGGTTCGATCCTTATCGAAAGCTTTTGAGATGCTGCTTCAAAAGTGAAGAGATAAAAGCGCCCACAGAAAAAGAACAATTGTGAAGGGTATTTGGTGGCGAGGTGAGATTGTCTGTGCCTGTGGTGCAGCGTCTCCGGGTTCAAGTCCCATCCGTTGCCGGTACCTGGATCACCAGAGACATTCCTGAAGTAACAGGGTCGGGGGGGGGCCGTGTCTCCCCCCGGCATTTCTGAGAGATGTAGGCAGGTGGTTATGGTACAGAAAAACATCAGGAAGTAAAATTTTAACTTGTAAATGTGATGGATTAAAAAGCATTTCAGCAGTGTCACATAAATGGTCCTGAACTTCAGAATGTTGGAAGATGTTTTGCCAGAGCTCCTCTTTAACTGAAATTTGTGTCACACATTGTAGTCAACACACCACCTCTGTGGGTGGTGATGGCATAATGGATAAGATACATGCCTGTGGTGTGAGAGACCTGGGTTCAATCATTTAACCCCTTGTTGCTCCAGAGGCGTGTGACCTCAGAAAAGTTTGCTAACTGCAGCTAGATAGCAAGCTATCTTCCCATTAAAGCCGTGTTAACTTCACGCTATGAGCCGTTTTCTATACAGTTTGCTTTGGACAATCTGATTGATTGTTAATGGCGCTGAGAGTAGCACATTTATTATACACAAAGATGTATTTTTGAAAATTATTTTTGTGACTGTTCATTTGCACATGCCTAAAACAACCTCAAGTTTAATTTAAAAGTTGCAGCCCTAGTTATGTCAGTTACAGGATATTATAAATCTAAAACTTCAAAGCACTGTTAATTACATTTTCATTAGATTCAGAGTCTTCTACAGCAACTGGCTAGGAGGTGTATTAAGTCATTTGGAAAGGGATATCATGAAAGTGATGGCAATTTTTAGTGAAGTTATATGTAATGTGCACTTATCTGAACAAATAGCAGTCTAAAGTGAAAAGGGCAAATGCTTGAGTGACAAAAACAATGCAAAGCAGGAGAGCAAGAGTCAGAGAGACCAAACTGGCATAGGTTTGTATGGGGACAAGCAGCTGTACTGTCCAACAAAATACTAATGATGACACTAATTTTAAATTTAAAGTTTGGTGATGTTGACACTGACTTGCATTGAACTAGTCTGATCTTGGTTCTTAAGGAAAAGCTTAAAAAGGTCTTAGTGAGTAAATAACTTTGAGAGTAATTCCGCAATGACACTTACACGCATCAACCTCCACCTCCGCCTCGGCCTCCAGCCCCCTCTCAGTCGCCTCGCTCGAGCCTTGCCAGCCCCGCCTGCTCCTCGGTCCTCCGTGCCCTCGTCTGCTGGCGTCCTGCTCACCTCCCAACTCCCCTCTTCCCTTTTTTTTGCTTAAAACTCATTAGCTCTTGAACACTACGATCCCCCAACGCGAATAGAAGTTTCATCCTCACTCAGAAATAGTCACATTATCTCCAGCTGATAACTACAAATACAATATGAATTTTTAACATTTATTAATGTTGGTAACAATAGCTAACTTAGCTGGTTGTAAACATGTGATGTCATTCCGAGTTCTGACTCTCAAAGTAAAGCTCAGAACTCAGACCTGAAACGCTTTCAGGTGCATGATGGAAAGTGAACTGGCGTGGAAATTATATTCCTGGTGAGAGGTTGAGCAAATAACTGAGTTACAACGAACCGTTGTCTTTGAAGAATTTATTTAACAAAAGAGAAAAAGAAGAGAAGTACTCTTACAACAATCACTAACGTCTGGCCCAGAGAAAAGGGCTGCATGATCATTTACACAGTCTGAGCATCTAAGTTTTGGGGAACAAAATATCCTTGACTGGTCCCAGTCAAGGAAGGAAGGAGAAGAACAGCTAGTGAGGAAAACAATCAACAACCCCACATCCCTGAGCTAAACCCCACACATGTGGACAGACTGGAATAACAAGAATGATAATAAAGATGGAACAGGTTAAAGATTTAAAACAATACATAAGACATAATAAAAGGAGAAAAATAGCACTCTGATGAGTAAATAGCACTCTTATGAGTAAATAGCACTCTGATAAGTAAATAGCACTCTTATGAGTAAATAGCACCCTGATAAGTAACTGATAAGCACTCTGAAGTACTTGCATAAAAGATTACAATTTTGGAAAAAATTGGAAAAAAGAAAGTGAGGAAGTTGAACTACCTGGTGAGTTCAGAAAACGTGTCTGTAACTTCATTCCAGCTGCCGTTGTACTTTACTGTGAAAAAGTTAGCATAGCATAGCCCTGATCGATCTGAACTTCATTCAGAAAACAAACACAAGCTGTTGTCATATGGTCCTGCTGACAGACCTGACAAAGCATGAATTTGTGCATTTTATATTAAATAAATTTGGAGCTACTCCAAATTCCTCTTTTCCTCTCCCAGAAAGGAGCAGGGGGTTTAAAGATCAACTTCAACAGACTGCTGAGGAGACCCCAACGGAAGGGGGGTGGACAAGTTGCTTTCTCTAAGTGCTATTCATGAGCAGTTGATCGTAAAAACCTTTTTGATTCTGAAGCTGATAACACGGGGCCTGACTGTTAAACTGACAAAAGGGAAATTAACCAGAGATTACAAACAGCCTATCGGAACTCTCCTTGGAGGGAGGCAGGAAATCCTAAACTGCCCCCCCACACCTGTAACCATGGCAACAATTCCTTTAGAAATGATGATAAAGAAATGTCATACTATACTCTATTAATTATCCAGCTTGAATTTAAGGCTGAATTCCCCAGTTCCTAAGGAAAGATTGTTTTGATTTAATCTAAGCTTTCCTCATGTAACCTGAACTCCCCCAAGTGGACAAAATAAGTATTACATACCATCGTCGGAAATGCCGTTAATGTATAAATGTCACTCACTTGACCAATAGTGTGACAATTGTTTCCTGTTACCAAATAGAACGGTACAACTGTTTGACCATTGAGGTTTGATTGTGGAAAATATTTGATTATAATACGCGCAAATACATTTTCTTTAGACATTAAAAGTTTAGAACGGCAGTCCCTCGGGAAACTGGAAGCGCTCCCCCGGGAACAAAGGACTGCCCACTGGGGAACCACGCCCCGGACCACAAAAGAGCGACACGCACAAAAGAGCGACACGCAACGTCGACGTCTGGTCCTGCTCTTCTCTTCTCCTCGTGCTCTGGTCTTCTGCTCTGCTCCCTGGACGCTTCGGCACGCGTCTGGCGTGCCTCTCCAGGCAACGCCCTAAGAGTTCGACCAGCGCAACGAAGCCTTTGTTTCGCTTGAAGCTACACACGCAAAGTGCCGCGACATCGATCTGCCCCTCAGTTTGTTTTAATTTCTTTCTTTCTTGTTTTGTTAAAGTTATCAGTCCGTTAAGTTACACTGGACTAATTCAGGAACGACCAAGTTCCCTTTTAAGCTTGTTCGTCGAGCCAACTTCACCGAGGTCAGACCAAGCCACGTGGTCTCGCCAGCGACAATGAAGGAAACCTGAAAACAGCCGAATTGCCAGATGGAGGACGGCCAACCCTTGAGGTTTTTCTTCAGATACGGAGAATCCCCTAGCAAAAAGCCAGGATCGGGCAGCTAGCGTGGGACCCGTGCAACAGGCCAAAGCAGGCCATCGACAAGCAAAGACCCAACAAACATTCTGTGGTCAGGGATGTCCTATAATGTTAATATTTTCTTTTAACTCCTAAACTCATAGCTTACTTTCATTAGTTCTCCTCTGCCGTATGAGTCAAATGCTTCCCACAATCAAACCTCCATTTCTCATTGTTCAGCCAGTTTATTTTCCCTGTATTTAACCACCCTTTTATATCGCTTTAGTTAGTTAATCAATTCACTGTAATCAAGGAACTTTGTGTGTTGACTATTTCTACGTCCCTGCCAAGAGAACTGACCCTTAAGATATGAGATTGACTGATTGATTTAAGATAATTTAGCGATTATTAACTAACTGATCACTAGTAATAATTGTATAATTATTAAAAGCTACCTAGAGGTCCGGAGACTCTAGGATAATAACAACTCCGGTGGTGCCCTTTTTAAATGAGAGCTTTTTATGGATTAATAAATATTAATTTTTGAATATTAAAATTCATAATTGGGTATTAATTCTCATAAATCTATTAAAATTCATAACTAAGTTTTAGCCATGCTACAAATATATAAGACCTAGATTTGGACACACTGGACTAAACGGCACATAATTTTAAATAGGCAAATACTGTGGTATATTCTATTATTAGTATTCTATGCTATTTATTTATTATAAACTAAAATTTGTTTTCCAGCTGCTTGTAAGACCCACTTTGAGACAGTATGCAGGAACTTCCAGTACACTCAACCAGAAAATCCTGCTTTTCATGCAGTGAAAGGTGTTGGATGGTGTTCAGGTCTGAGTACAGACTCAACTGATCTGTTCTCTACCAAGAGGAGACTCTCCCTCCTACACAGAACACAGAGACACTGAGGAAACAGGTGAGGACACAAAGAATCCATTACCGGACCTGAACCAGACTGCAAAGCCAGGATAAAGAGGTTCAGTGAATGTGGTGTTGAAGGTGTGGAGGTGGATCAGTGTGTCAGAGGAGACTCTGAAGAAGGACAGAGAGCCAGCAGGACAGTCCACATACACTGCTACTCTACCAGAGGAGGAGGAGGAGGAGGAGGAGGAGGAGGAGATGGGTATTTCTCTGTTATTGTGCCAGACAGAGTAACCATCAACATCAGAGCACCTCAGACTCCAGGACTGATTGTTCTTTCCAAACCTGCAGCGATAACTGTTTCCTCTCCTTCTGATTCCTCTGTAACTCACTGATATATAAACTCCTCCTCTCCACTTGACCTCCCAGTAACAGCGACCAGTCAGACCATCTCTACACAGCAGCTGCCGCCACCAGTCAAACCTGTCTGGATGATCAGGATATGGCTGATCCTCCTCCACACATATCGCCTTCCTGTTGTTGTCAGACAGTTTGATCTTTCTGTGTACTGTGTTTGTGTCGATTGTGAGTTCACAGGAATCTGATGAGAGAACGAGACACAATCCAGCTGCAGTTATTGATCTATCATCTGTTCATTGATTGGCACTTTGAATGAGTGATGTCACAGTCTGAAGATGGTTGAATGTTTTCATGAATCAAATGAAAAACACACTTACACTTCCTCAGACCTGGTCTCGACCATCGGACTCCAGCAGGCTCCACCCTGAAAGGAGGAGGGGGGTCAGAGCAGCATCAAACATGGACATTACATTGTCTCATACACATTTACACAATATGTGCATCCGGCATGCTTCTCCCTTCTTGTTGTTTAAATTGCTTACTTTAAAAATGCTGGAGACCGTGTTGGAGATCATGAATAAACAGACAATCAGTAAACGTTACTTATTTTCTTCTTCTGTTGAAAGACAGCAGAGTATGTATTGATGAATAAATCCCACTTACAGAGCTGTGTTGGAGGCTTTGACCTCTGGCAGCGGCTTCAGAAGAGCCTCCACTGAAGGAAAGCATTTCTTCAGGTCAAACACATCCAGATCCTCTTTTTCTGAATTATCACAAAGAGCAACAACACTTAATCAAAATAGATGCCCTATTAAGATTAAATTTCTTGACATGCAAACACTCCTCACAGTTAGTCAAAGGCTCTTAATGTATAAAAACAAGCCTGAACCTTCAACCCTGTCCACACTGTGCTAAACCCTTAGTGTACTCACATTGAGACAGGAAGCAAATCCTAGATGCACCACAGATCAGTTCAAAACCTCACTGCGTGTGAAAGACAAATCCCTGAAAGCTGTGAGCCTGCCACCACTAGGGCAATAATGGCCACAGTGTGATTGGCTGTGAATCAAAATACAGGAAAATCATTGAAATTAACTTTGTAAATAACCCAGTATATGTTTAGCTCTACAGAAGAAATATTCTTGTTTTACAGTCATTTCAGTCAGCTTTATTATGTATTTTACCTGGTTTAAGCCCTAGTGTCTTACTTCCTGTTCTGACTAGAGGTGCTTTTATTTGGAAAGCCACCCGCTGGCACATTAAGTTGTTTTTCCTGCTACATGTGAAGGAAAAGAGGAGAAACATTAACATGCACACACAGTGAAAGATTGTATGTTTTAGCACCCCTTCACAGCGTTATGTTGTGGTGGCTACCTATAACTGTTTAGAGCGGTTTGTTTAATGGGCTAATACTGGGCTTGTGAGCTAGTGCTAAACTATGCTAATGCTCTGAAACTATATGGTAAGGTAGCTAACGCATTTGTTGTTTGTGTTGTTTATTTTCTGTAACCAGCACTTCTGTTTGTTTTGGGATTTCCAATAAATCTAAAATCATCATCACATGGGAATGGCTGCAAACCTTCAACAAGGATGACTATGATTATTACATGCTTTATTATGATAGCAATCATCACAGCAGTATTTAAATAGTATGCAAAATGTACTGCAGGAAACTAATTCTTTATTTCATATGTCAACCTCAAATGCATCACTGCATTATGTCATTAGGACATCTCATAGGTCATTTACTCAAGGCATAAAATACCACAAATAAAACCATCCATATTAGTCAGTGAAATTAATATCCCCCAGTGTCTCAAACCAAGGCAGAAATAAGAGAGTCAGGCAGCGCCATCATCCCTCTGTCCTCTCAGACAGCAATGATTTATAGCTTAAATTCTTCTCATATTAACGATATCAGGTCTCAAATTTTATTTTTGTGAAAGCACTGAGCTTCCATGCTGAGAGACCCTGATCCTTTACAAGTATGTATAATATAAAAACTGACCTTCTGGTCCTGAGCAGGTTTCTGGCAGACTCTGCACCAGGTCTTTCCTGGGTATGTCCTCTAATACCTTCTTGGTGACCATCAGAGCTCCATGAAGTTCATAGGTGTTCACCATCAGATCCACTGTGTCCAGCCTGTCTGCCGTCCCCAGATTGGAGGCTTTGATGGTTTGGTAGGTTTCCAGGAAATCAGGCTGCTTCAGACACCATTTGAACCTCTTGAATTCCTCCTCACTTAAATCATCGAGAGTCTTCAACAGGTCCTTTGCCGTCATCGTGGCTCCCTGCTAAAGTCCGGCAGTGTTTTAGACCTGAAGGAAACTGTAACACAAATGTTTCAGAGCAGCAGCAGTTCTGATTGTTCGATACAGGAGCTGTTTGTAGTTTGTTATTTTCAGCTGGTCGTGTAAAGAAATGTTCGCCTATATGTTTTTGATACCACAAAGTTCCTCCTCGTTCTCCACTTTAGACATTTTTACTGATTCACAGCAGCTTTTCCTCCAGACTGTTTCCAGCTAGCAAGCTAAGCTAACTGCATTAGCTTCGTAGGACAGCGGGAGATAATTCAGATGTTAAACATGTTCAGATAAAGGGAACAGCACAGAGTCTATTCAGACAGCTCTATCTGGACATTTGGACATTTGGGCTCCGTGAAAAATACAGTTTGGTCTCTATGGAAGCTGCTCCGACTGTGAGGCCGAGCTCCGGCTCCGGCTACTTCCTGCTAACAAGCTAACTTCCTTTAGCATTCTTGGCTAACAGGAGATGAGTCTGAGGTGAAACATCCCGAAAGTTTAAACAGAGTCCACTTAAACACGTTGATCCTCACATGCAGGCTCTGCTGCTGAACTCCGGCTGCATCTCACGGTAACGTAAAGGAAAAGTTAGCATGTTAGCCACCGGAAGTTCCCCTGCTTCCGGTACCTCTTCTGTGCTGGATTTCAAAATAAAAGTGACCAAACTTTATTTACAGGCCCATATCCTTTTCAAAATTAACAATGCTAGAAATGAGTAGAAATACCACAAAGTAAAGTAAAGGTAAACAGCACACAAGCATTCTGTCTGCCAGGGTTCAGTTCAGTCAGTACGAACTAGCTCAGAGAGTTTGGCTTTCCTTAAAATTCACTTACAGAATGTTTTAAACAAACTCTTGATTGGCATCTTTGAAATTCAACGTATCATTATCCCCAAATACCAGAGTTCAGAAATTACATAATTTCATCACAAGTTCCTTTTACAGCATGACGTCCCTATTCTTCTTAAAGAAACAAAACCACACACTATCACTCTCTACAACCACCCTGACACACTATGAGACTGTGCACTCACATCGCTGGAAAACTTTGACGACTGTCTATTACAAGGCTACACGGCTGTTCCAATCAAATGCATTGGCATATGTAAACACCAGACCGTATTAGATCACATTGTCAAGACTGAGTATTAAATATACTCTGTGTGTACACTGCATTATAAATATATGTATTTGATTTGTATTCACATCTGTTGTTAAACCTGTATGCACAGTAGAGCTCTGTGTATTGCTATGTAAGTTATTCTCATCTGGAGTATGAACTGAGTTTCTTCTTTTTAAAATGAAGTATGGCCTCTCCAGGTTTTACAGACTCGGGTATTGACACGTTAAAAGGTAGTGAGTCAAATATACCCAGGCTGACCTTGGTTAATGGTGGGTGCTACACATTAGTGGTGGTTGAGACGAGTCCCCCCACTTCACTGTGAAGCGCTCTGAGTTTCCATGATAAAGCGCTATATAAATGTAATGCATTATTATTATTATTCATTTGTTATAAAAGATAGTGGTGTCTAACACTGAGCCATGTGCACCTTTGCAAGTTAATACAGTTATATGACATAACGGGCCAATTATGCCTGGGTTAAGATAGATCAAATTTGGCAAATTGATCGGGTTGAAAGGGTCAGAGGGAAGATTTCTGGACATGATTAAAACCATCAGTAGAACAGAAGGTCCAATTTACGACATTGTTTACAATGAAAAGATTAGGTTATTTTAGCAAGAAGGCAGTGTTGGGGATTAGGGTTTAAAGGGCATCAATATATATATTAAATAATATAATAATCGTTAATTATTACTATAATTTAATAACTAATAATATAACTTAATTATATTTACCTCAGGGCACCACTCTTAAACAAGAGAAATTTTACCTAATTTAGTCACCGGGAGATAATTCAGATGTTAAACTGAAGCTATGCTAAACTATTGATTTTTAACTATTAAAAAAATTACCATTAATAGTCAGATGAAGGATTTGGAGCTCTATGTGGAAGAGGCGGGCAATACAGTCATTCGTATGCAACAGTAAGGAGACCAGCATGCATTTACACAAGCATTTATTTAAACAGATGAAAAAAAGCAAAACACACAAGATTAACTAACTAAAAATGCACCAAACTAAGGCTACATGAAGACAAAGAGATCGTTGCGTGCATGGTTGAGCGCTATATGTGGTAGAACAAAGAAGGTATGTGCAGCAGGAACTTTGAGGCCCCATCCACACTACTGCGTTTTCAAATTAAAACAGAGACCTTTTTCTACGTTTGAACCTCCCGTCCAGACTAAAACAGCGAAAAAAAAGACCTAAAGCGGAGAAGTTTGGAAATGCTGCCGACCCCGTTTTGCGTTTCTAAAGTCCGGAGGGTGTTTTAGTGAAGACGGGCTTTAGAAACGATGACGCAGCCGCTCAGCTCTCTGATATAACACATGCAAAGCAGAAACACGATGCTATTCACAGAGTTTTTGACTTAAAATATTCTGTAGCATGCAAATAACACTTAGGCCAATCTGCCTACACTTTTAGGCTACTGCAAGTTGCCGTTTACTTTGCAACGACTCCGCCTCCACACTCCCGTGTTACATTCAGCTCGTTATTGGTGCATGATAAAAAAATCTGGTCTGATTCTTCGTCTGCATTTCTTTATTCTTTCGCCAAATCTTCTCTAACTACAGAACAGACCATCTGCTTCATGTTTACACCGGCACGCACATGCCCAGTGTAAGTAAACGGCCACTAGACGTGTGTTTTAATGTAGACGGAGATCAACTCTGATACGCAGCTAAAACGCTTGTGTGGACGGAGACAGTGTTTATTTTAAAACTCTGTAAACTAAACCGGAGTGGTGTGGATGGGGCCTGAGTTCCTCTCTGCATGTGTGGTTGTTTAAGGCCGAACAGAGTTTTATGTATGTGATCTGCGTGAAGGTTAACGGTGCCAAGTTAAAAGGAGTTAGTTAGCGAAGACTGTGTCTGTGTGAAGCGTAACATTTCTTTAACAATTTAGCTGAGAACTATGGTCACATAATAATCTCAACGTTAACAATGAAAAAGTCACAACAATAAAACCTTCAAGAAAAACAGGTCAAGGTACATTTACAAAACCTATACAGTGCTGTGCTTTTAGCCAGTTTATGTTACAACTGAGCTATATAAAGCCAACAATGCCCAGTTACGTTACCAGTCCATAAAGGAAGAAAGTCGCTTGGTGTGCTTGTTGTTAGCTGGCAGTAGTGTTGTAGTTTTAGACATCTGTCTGTCTTCGGAATCAACCGCATGGTCAAACATTGAGGATTTAATTTCAATACAAAGTCAAAACCACAACTGTGGAATATCAATAAATTGCCTGTGCATTGTGGGTTTTGTTAAGATCCTTACTTTAAATTGATGTAAAATATATTGCTTCAAATGCAACAAATAATGTGAAGCCCCCCGCCACACACACATACTGCAAGAAAGTCAATGTGGCTGTGGCTGTCTGGGGACAGAAGGATATATCAACAAAATCATGGTAATAATATTTGGCTACCTAAACCATAAAGAATTAATCTGTGAAACAACAGCCAGAAGCTATCTGTATATTCTGCGCTGCAAGACTTACGGATACAGCTGGGATCACGTTAAAGTTTGAATGCCTCTTAGAAAGAAAGGATAATATAAAAGGTAAGCAATGTGTTAGTGACGTTAGCAAAGCTAGCAAGCTTGGCTATGTACAGTGGGTACGGAAAGTATTCAGACCCCTTTAAATTTTTCACTCTTTGTTTCATTGCAGCCATTTTCCAAAAATCAAAAAAGTTCATTTTATTTCTCAGTAATGTACACTCAGCACCCCATCTTGACAGAAAAAAACAGAAATGTAGAAATTGTTGCAAATTTATTAAAAAAGAAAAACTGAAATATCACATGGTCATAAGTATTCAGACCCTTTGCCGTGACACTCATATTTAACTCAGGTGCTGTCTATTTCTTCTGATCATCCTTGAGATGGTTCTACACCTTCATTTGAGTCCAGCTGTGTTTGATTATACTGATTGGACTTGATTAGGAAAGCCACACACCTGTCTATATAAGACCTTACAGCTCACAGTGCATGTCAGAGCAAATGAGAATCATGAGGTCAAAGGAACTGCCTGAAGAGCTCAGAGACAGAATTGTGGCAAGGCACAGATCTGGCCAAGGTTACAAAAAAATTTCTGCTGCACTTAAGGTTCCTAAGAGCACAGTGGCCTCCATAATCCTCAAATGGAAGACGTTTGGGACGACCAGAACCCTTCCTAGAGCTGGCCGTCCGGCCAAACTGAGCTATCGGGGGAGAAGAGCCTTGGTGAGAGAGGTAAAGAAGAACCCAAAGGTCACTGTGGCTGAGCTCCAGAGATGCAGTCGGGAGATGGGAGAAAGTTGTAGTAAGTCAACCATCACTGCAGCAATCCACCAGTCGGGGCTTTATGGCAGAGTGGCCCGACGGAAGCCTCTCCTCAGTGCAAGACACATGAAAGACTGGGCCGAAGGTTTACCTTCCAACAAGACAATGACCCTAAGCGCACCGCTAAAATAACGAAGGAGTGGCTTCACAACAACTCCGTGGCTGTTCTTGAATGGCCCAGCCAGAGCCCTGACTTAAACCCAATTGAGCATCTCTGGAGAGACCTGAAAATGGCTGTCCACCAACGTTTACCATCCAACCTGACAGAACTGGAGAGGATCTGCAAGGAGGAATGGTAGAGGATACCCAAATCCAGATGTGAAAAACTTGTTGCATCTTTCCCAAAACGACTCATGGCTGTATTAGATCAAAAGGGTGCTTCTACTAAATACTGAGCAAAGGGTCTGAATACTTATGACCATGTGATATTTCAGTTTTTCTTTTTTAATAAATTTGCAAAAATGTCTACATTTCTGTTTTTTTTCTGTCAAGATGGGTTGCTGAGTGTACATTACTGAGAAATAAAATGAACTTTTTTGATTTTTGGAAAATGGCTGCAATGAAACAAAGAGTGGAAAATTTAAAGGGGTCTGAATACTTTCCGTACCCACTGTATATACTGATGTTTCAGGGCACTAATTTCAGTTGCTTGCCAATTATTTGCCACCCAGCCAGGCGCACAAGCTACCTAATTGCAGGGACTCAACAGGATAACATATTGAGGGAAGTAGCTAAAGTAGTGTTAACTTTGAGAAATTGAGGGGACAGGACATACAACGTTGAGACAGGCCACATAAAGCTATGTAGCTAATGTTACATCAATCTTAGGTAATGTCAGCTGAATACAGCTCCAAACATTAAAACTACACACCATGGCACTAGACTAAAGATGTGACAACAGACTGTGAAGCCCAAGTAGTGCGCCTCCACTTCTATGAGGAATTTACATATTAAATATGGCTATAAACACATGGCATGTTGTGAGTGTGAATACACAGTTGCAGATTAAATATTGAGGATCAAATATGGAAGACAAGAGTGAAACAGAAACTTGCACAAAAACTTGTTTTGCATTAGGTGGAGGGTAGAAAATGGAAAAGGAGTGTTAAATAAAGATGGTCAGGTTGATTTCAGCTCTTAGTGTTTGTGTGTGGGTGTTTTTGTGGGAATGTGGATCTTTCCGATAAATTAGAGAAATGCCTTTGATCATGTTTCACATTTTACTGTGTGTCATGTAGTGCAGGGCACTGGTCTTGGTCTTGACTTGGTCTCAGCCCCTGATAGTCTTGGTCTTGCCTCAGTATCACTACACTCTGGTGTTGGTCTTGACTACAACAGCTGTCCAATTATCAGTTTTGAACTGATCAGTGTTGAGCCAAATCTTGCCCACAGTACTTAGGAATCAGCTCAGCAAGCATCTCTACAGCTTCATTTACCTCCACTGCTCTCACCAGCACAATTGTGGTTGTTGATGTGAGTTAGCTGAGTAAATCTTTTATCACAAACAATGCAACTACTTGGTTTCTCCCTTCTGTGGATGCTCATGTGTCGTTTCAGAGGAACCTTTTCACCAAATGTTTTACCACAGACAGAGCAACTAAATGGTTTCTCACCAGTGTGGATTCTTGCGTGTCGTCTCAGATTTCCCTTTTGTCCAAAGGTTTTACCACAAATTGAACAACTAAACGGTTTTTCTCCAGTGTGGATACTCATGTGTGCGGACAAACAGCTTCTGCGACGGAAACCTGTTTTACAAATGGAGCATGTGAAAGGTTTTTCTTCTGTATGAACCTTCAAATGTGTGGTCAAAGCTGACCTTTGTGCAAATGTTTTACCACAAACAGAACAAGTAAAAGGTTTCTCCCCTGTGTGGGTTCTCATGTGGGCTCTCAGAATTTCCTTTTGTGCAAATCCTGTACCACAAACCAAACAACTAAAAGGTTTCTCGCCAGTATGGATTCTCATGTGTTTGGACAAATTGCCTCTGAGACTGAAACTTGTTTTACAAACTGGGCATGGGAAAGGTTTTTCTCCTGTATGAACTTTCAAATGTATAGTCAAAGCTGACCTTTGTGCAAATGTTTTACCACAGACAGAGCAACTAAATGGTTTCTCCCCTGTGTGGGTTCCCATGTGCCGTCTTAGATGATCCTTTTGTCCAAATGTTTTACTACAAACTGAACAACTAAAAGGTTTCTCGCCAGTATGGATCCTCATGTGTTTGGACAAATTGCCTCTGAGACGGAAACTTGTTTTACAGACTGAACATGTGAAAGGATTTTCTCCTGCATGGACTCTTGTGTGTTTGGTCAAAGTTGAGCTTTGTGCAAATCCTTTACCACACACAGAACAACTGAAAGGTTTCTTTTCTGTTAGGATTTCATTGGTTTCCTGCAGATGTCCATTGTGGTCAAGGCTTGTAGCAAATTTAGAGGAGCTACTTGATGTTTCTCCGGTATTACATTCCTGACCACTTACAGATACTTCAATGTTTTGCAGAGAGATTAAACCAGACTGAGAGTCCCTGGTCTCCTCCCAATCACAACTGTCATCAGTCTCAGGTTCAGAGTGGGATATCTTGTCAGGAGTAGCTGGTTGTAAACGTCTATTTGGATCAGAGTTCCTGGCTGGTTCTAGTCCTCCACAGTCCTCTCCATCAGATTCTGTTTTCTCCTGTTCAGTTAGTCTTTGATGAAGCTGTGAGGACTGAGGTTTCTCTTCATCGTCTTCTTCACTCTTCACAGGGACAGGAGTAAATGTGAACTTGGTGGTATCAGCCTCCTTCAGCAATCGAATCTGCTCTTCCTCCTGACTGGTCCAGAGGTCCTCTTGGTCTAGACTTGGACTCCACTCTACTTTAATGTGTGGCGGCTCGGGTGGGTCCTCCTGGTCCAGCCTGGGGCTCCACTCCTCTTTAATGTGTGGTGGCTCGGGTGGGTCCTCCTGGTCCAGCCTGGGGCTCAACTCCTCTTTAATGTGTGGCGGCTCGGGTGGGTCCTCCTGGTCCAGACTGGGGCTCCATTCCTCTTTCATGTGTGGGGGCCCTGGTGGGTCCTCCTGGTCCAGACTGGGGCTCCGCTCCTGCTGCTCAGGGGGAACCTCTTCTCTCCTCACCAACAGCAGCTGGACGTCTGTGAAGAATAATGAAATACATACACGTCTTAGAAAAATTTACTTCCTGTTAACAATCAAACCACTGACAGCACTACTTTCAAACCCTTTCCGAATGTGTTTTAATAGCAACTTTTCAAACAACTGTTGAGCAAGCAGAACATAAACATGAATATACGAGTTCTTTAGGGTTGGGTACCGAAACCAGTTCCTTAGTCTTAATGTCCTGTATCTACGGCACTGAATTAGAAAGCACATTTCGGTGCTAAATGAGAGGCTACGAGATAACAGCCGGTTTCCCAATTCAGCCAGGAGCGCGTTCACATAAAAGAGGCGGTGTTAGCAGCAGATGCACAATCACAGACATGAACAAGTCTACTGGCAGCAGAGCGTCATATTTTATGAACAAGGATTAAACTGTAACACTACAGAAATACGACAGTAGCACACCTGCATCTGACACATGCAGGGAGACAGAAAATCGCAGACGGTGTGAATGCCTAAACAGGCGTAGGCATAGACTATAATATTGCGTTGATTTAAAGTGTTCTTATGAGTATTGACTCACTTTAAAAAAAACTTGATCTGGTTTAGCCTTGATTTATGATAATGTCAATCTGAAGGCTGGGAACCAAAACGTCTGTGCTGATTTCACATGTATGTCCTGTGTTTAACTTTTAAAAGATACAGGCCAACTATCTCATCCATCCTTTAGGATCTTCTGGCTGATCTGGAAAGTAGGGCAGGTACCGTGGTCTCCATGAGGGCTGATGTAAACTGGGGAAAGGAGATGCACGTTTATATGATATAACACACCTTCACAGCGATGTTAAAGTATCAAATGATACTAGCAGTGATCCAAGTTGTGAATCCTGTCATGTGAAGTCCATCTGCTGACCTCTGGCACCCTGTTGTTTTCATTACGTTGCTGCCTTCAAATCAGAAATACTTTATTGATCCCCGAGGGGAAATTCTGTGTCACAGTTGCACACATTGCACAAAGGTCAACAGGAAAGTAAATAAAGATAGAAGGCTGGTATAATAAAAGCGCATAAGCCGTCTGTCGGCGCAAGATCAAATGAATGACATGTATTTGATATTAGTGGATGATTTTTATACAAGTAATATTCTGTTTGAAATCAATAAAGTGTTTCATAGGAGTCTATTTCACTTTTATGCAAAATGAATTAAAGGCCTTTCCCAAATATAGGCAGGGTCAATTGATCAATTGAGTGATTTTAGCAAATAAAAGCCCGGGCTAGTAATCAGACTTTAATAGCAGCAAAGTTAGAGCACTGTTAAACGTAGTGGGAGTTAAAATATGCAGTATGAGATACGACCATACGAATAATAACAGCAGCTCTTATGGCTAAGTATCAACACTCCTGCCAGTATTAAACGTATCAGTAGTATCAGTAAGTATCAGTACTAGTTTTGTTGTTGCCTGATGCATATGGTTGGGTACCGAATCCCGGTACCAATATGGAACCAGTTGTTGTGTTTTGTATTTACTTAGATTTAGATTTAAGTATACTTTAAACAGTTAATATAGTGTTCAATTTAAAGAATTTCAAAAAAAAAAAAAAAACGATACCCAACCCTACTGATACTAGGTAGTAAACTTCACAATGCAGGGCTCTACGCTAAGGTTTTTCCCAAGGAGCACATGTCTAAATTTTTTCATTTAGGAGCACACCAAGAACTTTAGGAGCGCAGTGAAAAATGTTCAAGTAACACAGAGTTGAACAAACTATTTATTACATACATATTTATACTACGTGCGTGCTCCTTCTCTTTGTGTTCAACGATGGTGTGAAACCATTAGAGGACTATCAAAGTGAAGACCCTGGAATCTGTATACTCGACATTGGCCGTAAAAATTTGTCAAAGCTTTTGAAAATATTGAAACAGACGTTTTGAAACGTTGACATTGAAAAACAGCTTTTAAAACATAAATCACTCATCACAAAACAGTTTACTGCGATTGGTGCTTGTGTAGTTTTTGAACCAGGGACGGATTCACGATACACCAGCAGCACCCAAACAACCCACACTTAATGTAAACAAGACTAAAGGTAAACAGTATTAACACATAGGCTACGGCGTATATATACACACATAGGTATAAATCACACTTTACACTTTAGTAAAACAGAACGAGGGGAAGGTGTTGCTCTCAGGGGGAGGCTAGCAGCACACACTGGAAATCTGCATCTTTCCACTGCAGAGGCTTTTTCACACAACATGGAGGAGAAACTACTTTAAATGAGTGTAATAGTGTTTATATAATTATAATACTATTAGATAAAAGTTAAATTTCAATCTATTAGTATACTGTTAGGATGTTAATATATTAATGATTTAATTTTACTATTTGCATTGCAATTTTATGTAATAATATACTATACAGCTCAGAAAGTCCGGAGAAACTCACCGACCTCAGCCTCAAACTCCAGGATGGCTGCTCCAAGCATCAACAGTAGTGAAAGCTGTATAGTAATGCACTTTTTATCACACCTCTATCTTTATTTGTGTCTCATTAAATCAGTCGTACACACAGTCCTGTCCAACTTATATCTGTGCACTGTTTGTTTGTGCAAAATGTGCTGTTATCTCCTGGTATTGTTGACAAGGTCCGATATGAATCCGTTGTTGTACTGGAACACGGTCAACACGGGTGTGACGTCATTCAGCTCCGACTTCCGAGATTAATGGACCGCAGTTTAAGTAATTTGAGCAAAGTTAAAATTGGAATCTGAATGTGAATTTCTCTCTTGATTGCAGTTTCCATTTCATTGACAGCTTCCAGTGGAAATTAATGTTAGGCCTAAATAATCTATTGTTGGTGTGTAAAGTGATAAAGAGCAGCTCTGTATGACAGTAAAACACTGACAGGAACATTTTACTGCACTGTGAGTACTTTTACTGTCATACTGTAAGTACATGTTGCTGATAATACTCACATACTTTTACTGAAGGAAGGTTTGAATGCAGGACTTTTACTCGCAGTGGAGTATTTTCACAGAGTGGTATTAGTACTTTTACTGCAGTAAAGGCAGTTTACAGTGAGAATCAGCAGTAAAGTGCACAAACCTGCTCCAGGCTTGAAAACAGCGTCCAGTAGTTTGCGTTGTCCACAAAGTTCCTCCTCGTTCTCCACTTTAGACATTTTTACTGATTCACAGCAGCTTTTCCTCCAGACTGTTTTCAGCTAGCAAGCTAAGCTAACTGCATTAGCTTCGTAGGACAGCGGGAGATAATTCAGATGTTAAACATGTTCAGATAAAGGGAACAGCACAGAGTCTATTCAGACAGCTCTATCTGGACATTTGGACATTTGGGCTCCGTGAAAAACACAGTTTGGTCTCTATGGAAGCTGCTCCGACTGTGAGGCCGAGCTCCGGCTCCGGCTACTTCCTGCTAACAAGCTAACTTCCTTTAGCATTCTTGGCTAACAGGAGATGAGTCTGAGGTGAAACATCCCGAAAGTTTAAACAGAGTCCACTTAAACACGTTGATCCTCACATGCAGGCTCTGCTGCTGAACTCCGGCTGCATCTCACGGTAACGAAAGGAAAAGTTAGCATGTTAGCAACCGGAAGTTCCCCTGCTTCCGATACCACATCTTTGATGAATTTCAAAATAAAAGTGACCAAATTTTAATTTACAGCTCCATAGCTCTTTGCAAAGAATGAACAATGGTAGAAAATCGCAGATCCTTTATTGAAATAAATATAGAAATAACATAAAGTAAAAGTAAACAGCAAACAAGCAAAATGTCAGCTAAATTTATTGTTTTATGTATGTGAAGGTAGCATATTAATGCAAACAACTCTGTATAATAATGATATTATAATATTGTGATCATATTACTCTTACAAATACTATACTTACTACTACTAATCTCTGTCTTTTACATCGATGATGTTTGGACTTGTCCCTTTGCTTGACACAGTATTGCAGTATTAGTTCTACTACAACACTAGTACAGCCCGCCCCTGCTGTTACCTGTAATCAGTTCACTTGTTGCTGTAAAGTTTATTTAATATACTTTGGATTATTCATTTTGCTAGTTTCTCTTGTTATCTGTCCTTATTGTCTTTGTGCAGCTGTGACACCTGAATTTGTTCAGTTTTGTTGTCCTCGTTCTTTGTTCACATACTTGGCCAATAAAGCTTATTCTGATATCAGGTCAACAGTCAACTCTATCAACCACTTCCATCCTGCTGAATTAATGTCTTATACATTTCTAAAAAAACAAAGATATTTTCCATCTTATTACAAGCTAAGCTAACTGCATTAGCTTCGTAGGACACCGGGAGATAATTCAGATGTTAAACATGTTCAGACTGAGAAGCTAAACAGTCTCGATGAACTGCAGTTGTTTTTTTGTTTTTGTGGGTATGATTTCACCTTCGTTCAGCTCTTCAAGTTATGAATCAAACCCTGGATAAATCCTGTAGAAACATTAAGTCTTAAACATTTGTGCATTTTTACTTAACTATCATACTTAGTATGTCTGTTATTATGCTGAATGTTTTGGAGCTGTTCCTTGTACAAAAACTAAAACAACACAACCACCAGCAGAAATGCTCATTGAAAAGTGGAAAGTTTGGATTACCCTGTTTCAGAATGTAGTTCAGTGAAACATTGCTGCCATCCAGTGGACATCAGTGAAAATGTCATTGTACCAGTCATAAAGGAGGTTCCTGCAGTACTCACGTTCCTCTTGCTGTAGAGAATAAACATGAAGTATAGATTTCAACTGTCAAACACAAACTTTATTACAACTGAATAACAGATATGATTAATAATAAACACTCACATCACTCTGTGTTTCCTGTTTAAAGCTGAGTTTCATTTGACCGAACGTTGTGGCGCAGATAGTTTTCTCCACCTACACCTACAGCTGAAAGCTTGAAATGTTTTACACATTAACATAAGCTGTAGTTATCGGAGTTATACTGAAACAGCACATGCTAAGTTTCTCCAAATTAACAACTCAGGACTGTTAACTGAGGACAAAGCAGGCACTATTCCATCTACCCAATTCTATTACCTACCTAATTGGTAGACGGCGATGTGCTGCAGAGAAACCTGTTTGTTAATGACAAGTTATCTACTTATTTCTTCCAGATGACTTGTAGCTTATCATTAAAGGAAATGTCCTGGAGCTGAAATTAGGCTTTAAAGCTTCATTCTTAAGTAGAAAACTAAGGAGGCAGGAAGACTCGGACAGACTGTGAGGGACATGAAACCCTCCTGATTGGAGCAGGAGTGAAATAAAGACACACGAACCATGAAGCTACTAAATAAAGCTGCAGCCACAAGTTTGAATCGATGTTAGTGAGCAACACGTCATTTCAACATTGATCTCAGTGAGATTTTTAAAGAGAAGCACATATAGAAACTGCTGCTGCCGCCTGGAGAGTCTGAAGGTCTAAAGGTTTGGAGCCGGTCTAAAACAGACCTCAGGTAAATCAACATCCCAACAGACCTGATGGTAACTGGAGAAAACACATTGTAAGTGTTGAAGATCCCCACTTGATTTATCTGACTCAGACTTATAAAGCCTCAGATTAACTGTCACTGAACTTCACAGTCTCTTTTCTACAAAACTCCCTTTTTATGTTTCCACAGACGGTTTCCTTGTCCAGCTGGGGCGGAGGGATGTGTGTAGATAGTCTGTTGCTGCAACAAATCAACTGCAATAACCATGCACACGAGCCCCAGGACGAAGACCAGTTAAAGAATAATTACTGCGACCAGCAACTCTCTTCCCCTCTGGTTAAATAAAGGTTATATAAAAAGTTTTAAAAACTATGTTTTCAGTGGTGCATAAAGAACCGTTCTGTTTTTATTAACTTAGAATGAGACATTTATATCTACAGACACTGCGGGGCCTCTTACATGGACGTCACCATGTTGCCCGCCATGTTTCTACAGAAACCCAAACGGACAAACTGTGCTACAGAGCGTGTTTTATCACTACGTTCAATACAGAGAAGAAGAAGTAGTCGTAGTCTAGTCTGTTAGAAGGGAAGCGAAATTTGGTCAAATGGAGGACCACACGTGTTATTCAGTACAAGAGTCAACAGAGTGTGTCGGCCAACGAAGCTTCTCTGGGTGATTGAGCTGAGTCACCACTAGATGCCACTAAAACTTGCACACTGAACCTTACAAGGGAAACTGGGTAAATCCAACAGATCAGCTGTCCAGTTGTGTGAAATCAAAGTTTGTCTAAAGACTTGTGATATGACCGAAATAAGACAAAAACAGTGTGAGCTGTTTAAGAATCAGCTGTTCATGTTTAACACAGAATAAGATGAATTTAAGACCAGGAGAGTCCATTTAATTAGAAACAATTTGCACGTGTTCACCAAAAATGAAACCCAGAAAAAGATTAAATAATGTGTGACAAATAAAGACAGAATTAAAATGGTCATGTGGCTTCATCTTAGCTGAAAAGGTGAAGCATGACTTATTTTGGAGTCTGTGTCACAGTTCTGAACTGATCAGTGTTGAGCAAAGTCTTGACCTCAGTACTTCAATCCTGCTGGAAGGAATCGGCTCAACGAGCATCTCTGCAACTTAATTTACTTCCTCTGCTCTCACCAGCACACTTGTGCTTTTTGATGTGACAGTTGTTTTATCCCAAACACTGCAACTAACTGGGTTTTACAAACAAGGTTTTTCATCTGTCTGAACATTTTCACTTGTGTGGACAATCAAGTGATGTTTCAGATATTGCCTGTCTCCAAATGTTTTACCACAGACAGAACAACAAAATGGTTTCTCCCCTGTGTGGATTCCCATGTGTCGTCTCAGATGATCCTTTTGTCCAAATGTTTTGCAACAAACTGAACAACTAAATGGTTTCTCCCCTGTGTGGCTTCTCGAGTGTCGTGTCAAATTTTCCTTTCGTGCAAATGTTTTACAGCAAACTGAACATTTAAATGGTTTCTCCCCAGTATGGGTTCTCATGTGATTGGACAAATTGCCTCTGCTTGTGAAACTTGCTTTACAAACTGAGCAAGTGAAAAGTTTTTCTCCTGTATGAACTCTTAAGTGTGAGGATAAAGTTGAGCTTTGAGCATATATTTTATCACAGAAAGAACAACTGAAAGGTTTCTCCCCTGTGTGGACTCTCATGTGATTCACACCATCTCGTTTCAATCGAAAAGTCTTTTTACAAACTGAGCAGCGGAAATGTTTTCCTTCTGAATGAAGTCTCATATTAGACATTAAGGATTTATTTTCTAAGTGTGTTTTACCACTAACTGAGCAACTAAATTGCTTGTCTTCTCTTTGGAGTCCATTGTTTACCTGCAGATGTCCCTTGTGGTCAAAGTTTGTAGCACATTCAGAGGAGCAAATTGATGATTTTCCAGTATTACATTCCTGATCACTTACAGGTAGTTCATTTTTTTGCAGAGGATTTAAACGTGGCTGAGGTTCCCCGGTCTCCTCCCAATCACAACTGTCATCAGTCTCAGGTTCAGAGTGGGATATCTTGTCATCAGTATCTGGTTGTAAATGTCTATCTGGATCGGAGTTCCTGGCTGGTTCTGGTCCTCCACAGTCCTCTCCATCAGATTCTGTTTTCATTTGTTCAGTTAGTCTTTGATGAAGCTGTGAGGACTGAGGTTTCTCTTCATCTTCCTCACTCTTCACAGGGACAGAAGTTGTAGTGAATGTGACCGTGGTGATATCAGCCTCCTCCAGCTGTGGAAGCTCATCTCCCTCCTGACTGGTCCACAGTTCCTCCTGTTCCTCCTTAATGTGTGGAGGCTCTGGTGGGTCCTCCTGGTCCAGACTGGGGCTCCACTCCTCTTTAATGTGTGGGGTCTCTGGTGGGTCCTCCTGGTCCAGACTGGGGCTCCAATCCTCTTTAATGTGTGGGAGCTCTGGTGGGTCCTCCTGGTCCAGCCTGGGGCTCCATTCCTCTTTAATGTGTGGGAGCTCTGGTGGGTCCTCCTGGTCCAGCCTGGGGCTCCATTCCTCTTTAATATGTGGGAGCTCTGGTGGGTCCTCCTGGTCCAGCCTGGGGCTCCATTCCTCTTTAATATGTGGGAGCTCTGGTGGGTCCTCCTGGTCCAGACTGGGGTTCCACTCCTGCTGCTCAGGGGGAACCTCTTCTTTACTCACCAACAGCAGCTGGACGTCTGTGGAGAATAACGAAATACATACACACGTTAGAAAACTGTAACTTCTAGGCATTCTGTGTTGATTTCAGATATATTTCTACTGTAGATCAACTTTTCTCATTTCTTATCATCCCTGCCGAGTCAGCACACATGCAGGCATGATATAAGCTGCATTTCCACCACAGAAACTTCACCGTGGAACAAGGATCTCACTGAGAAGGGGCTTTTGGGACCCCAGGGGTGACTGTACACCCCTCCCCCAAAATAACCACCAAACCAAAAACATTTTACATTATACCACCAGGTGAAAGCAGGTTTTAACCTTCTAACCTGCCAGTCAGCTCGCTCTGGCTGACTGTCTATGCGAGTGAATACATGCCTCTAAGATGACCGCTACCACACCCAATGTAAATCTCACGCTCCCAAAATACTAGGGCTGTAACGGTTCTGAAACAGAGACCGAAACA